TAAAATAATTCTTATGTATTAGAGAGAAACTAAATCAGAGGAACACTTTGATCTATGACTACTAGCTACAGAAGAAGAGAACAACACGAAACAAAAAACATTGTTTTGAGTTTCAGGGTAGGGAAAACCTGTTACTGTGTTTGTCTTTAAAATATGTTAATATGTAAGAGAGTGACAATATTTCTTAGGAAGAACTATCAGGAGGTAATAATTAACTAGTGGTTGCACCACAGATCTACTATACAGTACATGTGTAACACCTCAATAATAAAATGCTTTACTTTCAGTGAAACTGGCTAGAGTTCTATCTCAGGTGCCTAGGGTAAGCAACACCTGTTTATGTCATTTGTACTTTAACTACTTAATTAGAAGTTCAGATTCCATATTACTTCCAAAAGTAATTTGGCAGTAATCTGGAACCTATTTAAAAGTAAATTGGTATTGTTACCAAACACTGTCTTCACTGCCTTTTCCTGAGTTTTGGTGTATAAGATCTTCTCTGGTGTTAAGGATTTTGCTTAATCCTTGCTCTCATACATTCTGGACAAATTGCTTTTGTACTCTATTTTCCCTGACAGATATATTCTATATTATTTGTGAATAATGTATGGTATACAGTTATATGGAAGGACTTATTTATAATATTGTATCTGTATTTTCCCAATATTTATTTTTTTTGCATGCTGCTTATCGTATTATTTGTATTCAGAGAGAAATAGTGTTGTTTTGGTTGTGCTTGCATAGTTTCTTCCCATAATAACCATGATGGACAGGAAAAAAAGAACTAACTGTGATGAACAATGAGGGAAAGAGTATTGTGCTGTGCTCGCAGTTTATCAATAGACTGGAGTTTATTCAGTCTGCACGGCAGTGATATACTTATACTGTATAGCTCACTGCTTCATTTGTTCCCTTGCAGATTTTCTGAAGAGTTAGGCCAACATATAAAATTATAAGCAAAAACGTCAACAGAGATTCAATAAGTCTACATTGGGGAATGAAACAAAAAAATGAATAAAATTGGGAAAGAATAGAAAGGAAAAATTCACAATAATAAAAATGTGCTCCTTAAGATACAATTCTAGCATGTAATTAAGTAAAAATCACTTTTTAAATTAAAGCATGAAGTGTATGTGCTGTTTTGGAGCAGACATTATATGAAACATTCTTAGAAAAACAGAGAATCAGCTTAATCTAAATCTATTACAAATAATATATTTGTATATACAATATAAATATACAATTAGAAGATTTAATTTTTTTCCATTAATAAAGCATAGCATTACATCTTAATTACAGATGCTGTTTATTATTGAAAGAGATTTCTCAGACCAGTAATTAAATATCGTTAACAAAAATTTTACAAATACCAAATTAAGCACAAAATCATTAACTTTGTGGAAGTACTATATAGTTGCCATATTGTTGCAAACTCCTGGTCCAGCCACGAGCAAGAGTTTGTACAAATTGTAAAGTTTATACTTCTTTCTCACTAGTAACCGTAATAACTAATGTAATGTAGGTTGTGCAGCAGACATTTCATAGCAGAAATCTTCTAAAGTAATCTACATGCAAAGTTAACAAGTGAGTTGTATTTGTCAGCAAACTGCCTCAGTTGTTTATGTAGAGTAATTAGAATTGTTTTCTCAATTCTACATTTACTGTCATTTATAGAAACACAGGAAAATGTGGTTCTAAAGTTACAATTAAAGTATTACTCTTAATACAGTGCGTAAAAACAGTCAAAATTTATTAAGAGAAAGTTGCTAAACCAGCATATTTTCCCTTCTGTAGGAGCACCACCATTTGAGTCTCCAGTCAACAAATTTGAATTTGCAATGTCTGTGAATAATAAGTGAGAGAACTAATTTCTTATACCTATTGAGTTTTAATTCACAGAGCTAAAAAAAGTTAATGAAAATTGCTGCAGCAGACCAGTTCATTTAAGCATACATTCTTATGCTTATGCTAGAATATCATGGGATAAATACTGTATAATAAAAATTGTCATATGTTCAGTAGTATTCTACAATTACCTATCAGAAATACTTACAATACAATGGAGCATTCATTCCCTTGTTGTGTTTTTTATACGATTTAGGAAGTGACAAAGATAATAAATGGACCAGACATTGACGAAAGACTAATTGATCACTGCCAGTATCAAGAAGAAAATATGCTCATGTATTTAATGAGAAACAACATTAAGGATGCCATATATAAAACTGTTTTTAAATACCGACACTCCTTTTCTGTAGATTGTGAGTTTATTGCACCACAGGCACCAATTTTCCAGAATGCATAAAGGATGGATGCTGTTTTCAGTGCAAAGCATTTGATGTTCATAGCAGCTGACAGCTCTACAAAAGCGCAACATACTGTGTCAGATATGTATTAAGAGTTGTCTCTCGCTTATTAAATCTTTGTGCAGTACACATCCTAGTTCTATGTTGCAAAGAGCAGCAAGAGAACACATGGTGAACAACAAAGTGCTATAAACCTCTAGGTAATCATGAGAGATAAACATCACATACAAAATGCATTTGAGAGGAACTATGTCCCATTCTTGTCAAAGAACTGTGCAAGGGCTGTTAAGAGTCACTGCTAAATTCTGTTTTGGGACACCTACTCTTGACAAGTTGGGCTCTGATAAGTTTTATTTTACACCATCATACTTTAAAACTAACATAATCCTGATCCAAAGCTTAAATAAATGGTGTTTATTTAAAACCATTTCACTTGTTTACTATTTACTGTATCTTTCCTTTAAATAATCAATTTAATCATTTTAAAGCTGTTCAATATAATATACTGTAAAAGATAGAATACGTTCCAGCTACGTGCCACAAATGACAGAAGGAGTTTGAGAAATAAGACAAACTCTCTCAGGGGTGGTTTTCATTTAAGATATTGTCAAATTATTGGTCCTCTGGCCTTTAGGTTGGGCAACGATGGATTCAATTTCTCAGAAAATGCAGGATAGTCTTCCTAATGCTGAAAGGCTTGAGCAGGTGTAGGACTCAGTCAGGAAGTATTCCATCAGCATTGGGTTTCCTCTTTATGCCTGGAATGATTGAGGGTTTTCCTTGATAATCGTACAAGTCCTCCAGTCCAGAGAACCCCTGGGAGCAATGAAACACTGTTTCTGTCTCAAGGGAAAAAGTCCAGAACAGGATGCCCACATAGGCCTTTGTAAGTCAAGTATCCTCCAGTGTAAGCTACACTGCCCTCATGTTAAAGGTTACGGAGGGCAGTGTACAAGTCTGAAAGAGGGTGGCTAATTGTGTAAATTCCATTGTTGTCTACTGCTATTCAATCTCTAAGGAGCTTTCCTTCTTTCTGGCCATTCCCATTGTTTTTTTTTTTAACTGACATATGAATTCCACATTTCCCTCCTTGTATTGTGATTTAAATGGACAGGCTAGGAAACTGGGATTTCAGTTTTAGAAATCCATAGAACTTAAAGACATTAAAAGTAGTTTCAGGGTTGTGCACATTATACATTAATCCATTTTTTTTAATTCTCTGCTGGTAACTTGTGGTTTCCAAATTATGGAAGATCTATATCCTGTTATGCTAAAACCCATTTAGATTTATTCTTGGGCCTTTGTAGGTTCTAGCACATACAGTAAGTCGAATTACTTATATACAGTCTTTGTTTTGTCAAAGAACCTGCCAATAGTTTATACATAGTAAAGAAAATTAAATGGCTGCAACATACCAGATCTGTACTTGTTATAGGAGATGAGTTGTATATGATTTCTACACAATTTGAATCACTCAATAGTTTTGCGAATGGATGTAGTTATTTAAAAAGGTGCATTTGGTCTAACAGCAGTAAATGTGACAGGCTTGAAGACTGAGATTTTAGACTTCCCCGGCATGAATCCTATACTGTACTTGTCTGTTTCCTGATCAAGCTAAGTAAAGACAAAACAAAAATATTGAAGAAATGTACAATGACTATGAACAGATGAAATGACTTACAAAATGATAGTAACTAAGACAGATACCTTCTCAAAGCAAAGCACATTTCTTTTTAATACCTCTGAGTGAGTAAAAATGAATAATCCTTAAGTCTTAGTGAATTCACCCAGTACTACAGTACAGTATATAAACCTCTTAAAGATTAGTTATGAGAATGGTATTTGCTCAAGACACTAAATATGTCAGTTAACAGGGAAACAGGGTGACAGAATACATTACACTTACAGTCTAAGTGATCCTCCAGATCAGAGGTCACTTCACTGGTCCTGGAGAGCCAGAAACCTGCATGTTTAATAGGCAGGTTTCTGTGGTCTGGAGCCCCAGAACACGTGTTAAACTGCAAGAAGTTTCTTCAATAAGGTCAGCATGATTACAGCTGGAGCATGTTCGCATTTCAGCTAAGACATTATTTTAAAGCTACTGTTTAAATATGTTTTGACTCTGTTGCAATAATAACTGTACATATGTAGGGAAAAAACATTCATCTACAGTACAAGAAGAGACCTGTACCGCTTTAAAATACCATGCACTAAGGTATATTATGAAGAATTGGACTTAAAAATTGAACCAGAAATGACTCATCATATTTATGATAGTTTTCAGTGAGTTTAGCAAAAGTACATTAATGATATAATAAGCAGGTATACTGCACATGTTTTTTCTTATGCTTAATCACTGGTTTTAGAGTTAGGGATATCAATCAGGCTATGGACAGGATTAAGGTTTTATAATCAGTCAATTTAACCTACAGTAGAGGTCAATTATTTAATAATTTCCCTATCAGTATATTCATAGATTTTGTTTATACATTTAGAAATGTCGTTTGTAATCTCTAAGCTCTATTGTTATTATACTCAATTAAATTTCGGTACTTTCTTCCAAGCGATAAACTTGGTGAGGATGAAAAAAAATTCGGCTTTGGAAACCCTCACATGTGTTGCAAAAGGCAAGAGCCTATTGAAGCAGAAATTTTCAGTGTTTCAAGAAACAATATTTTATAGAAACCTTTAAAACACTGTTTACTTATTTGGCACCTACTCTGTAAAACTCTTGGGGCTGTACTCACTGTGCATTTATTAATTCAGCAACTACATAACATGTGATCTGTGTTTTTGTGTCAGACAAAAGTCCTCTAAGGTGTAGTGAAATCAAGAAGTTGAAGCCTTTCAACTTTGTACTTCCTTCACCATATGATGTAGTTAGCAAAGACAAATTTAAGGACACCTCAATTCAGATGCACTGATTCTGGCAGAAAAAGTGGAATAATTTTATTAAAAAGCCTAGTTAGTGTAACAGATGCTCTAAAACACATAATATTATTAAATAAGCACAGTAATATTATTTAAATCCAATGTAAATGCATTAACATATTTTACAGGGCTTTGTAGCTCTTACACCAAATTGTAAAAGCACAACAGGAGGCAAAATGTATTTCTGACTAGTCTTTAAACGGCATATTTAGTGAGATTCTGCTGTAGCTAACTGCATTTTCGTACTGGCAATATTCTTGCAGCTGTCCCTGCTTTACATGGAGCTTGCGTCTGCATTCTGGCTCAGCTCATTTTGAGTGAAATATAAGGCTGAAGGCGCTGAGATGCACAAGCACGCTGTTTCCATTTTCAGACATTTCACAACTGGGCAGGTGAAGAGGGATACTGATGGGCTTGCGTTTTTGCCAGTTAACTACAAGAGTACATGCTGTACCTTGCAGGGACATTTTTAAACAACTTCCTTGCTGCCTAGGGTAGTGACATTTTAAAATCTCGTTTTGTTTTCTTCTGTTGAGAGTCAGACAGAGCTACTTTAACCCTACTTCAATAAGAAAAACTGGAAAAAAAAACACTTCTGGTTCTCCAAGTCAACATCCTACATGTGTCTGTCTGCTTAGAGTGTGTGAAATGCCTGTTTCAAGCCCAGACAGAGCAGGTTTTTTGTAATCATTTACTGCTGATTAGATTATTGTATGCTGACTTGGAGCAAAGGGGGGATGGATAAGTGAATGTTGTTGCCTCTGAATGTATAATCATGATGGAGGTGAGGGTTAAGGAGAAGGAACTGGAAGGTGATTGTGGGAGGAGCAGACTGGGCTGTCCTGTGGTCAGCAGGTTGACAAAGAAAAAGGAGGAGAAAAAAGTAAGTTTGATTCAGTTTCAAATTCCCTTTACTTATTAGACTGTGAAGATGAAAAACTTTTGATTTTTGGATTATGGAGTTGTGAAACTGCCTAACTGCCTGAAAAGGTGATCAGAACACAGAAAACGCTATGAAGGCTTAAGGCACTGGTATAACCTCTGCGTACCAAAGGAGGCTTTTAATTGAAACCTGTAATGCAGCTACATTTGACAGCTGCTGAAAACCAGGACAGAGTTTTGTCTTCGAAAGCCTTGCAGTTTAAATTGTATATTTTGAAACCAATAAAATTAAAGGAACAAAAATGATGACAGCTCCTTTTTGGCCTATAAACTATGGAAATGCCAGGATGTTCCAGGTTCTTTTTATTGTTCCATGTTAAAAGATTATCATTATTAAATGATTCAGATAGGAATGTGAGCTGTTGGATTGTGTATAAATTCTGTGCTAATACATTGGGGGAAAAGGCTTTTATGTTTTTTTTTTATGGTCAACATAGTGAATTTGCTGTAATTTGATGATATTGTATTAATGTAGGCCTGATGAATATTTTCTTTATTTAGACTTTTTTTAAAAAATTACAGTTCAGATTCGATTCTCTCTGTAAATGAACAAAAACACTAAAAACCAGTGATGCCTCTAAAATAAATGCTTGATGCTAAGCTTTTTGTGTCCTGTGGCACCTCTCATGACTGCCATTATAAAGTGAATGCAAAGAAAGTAAAATGCTAATATAGTTCATGCAAGCAGGCAGAAAAACGTGGAGCTCAGGCCTCTAAACATCGAATGTGTAGCAAAGTGAAGACAGATAAGATGGAAGGATAAAAACCATAGAAACCATAGCAAGGTGTGGAATGAGGTGTATTTACAAAACGAATATGCACTTGGTTGACTGGGTTAGATTCCCAAGCAAAAACCTATGGATTAGGTGTCCACAGGAGAATAACATCTAAAAAAAAAAATGTCTGTTGAATGTCCTCGGGGAGCACATTTTCATATCTTTTCACCTGTTTTTTCCAGTGTCTTTAATGCCTGAAAAGACTGACTGTGCTATAGAGTGAGCTCTATTCTCAGACAGGCTTGAGAGCAGGGAATTTAGATTAAGGACCTCTGCTGCACTTGTTTACCAGGTTTTTATTCACAAAACCATGTACCAGAAAATTAGGAGATGCATCAATTTCAGAAGAGGTAAGTCCCCTTTAGGGCAATGAAATAATTGTAAACTGCAATAATTGTAAAATGTATTTTTTAAATGGAACAAGAAGGTGGCTTTAGAAAGAGACCTTAATTAGGAATCTCTCTTTAACTACTTTAAAGTCAATTAAAATCATTTACTGAGAGGACATGATTTTATTGTACATTTTAAAGTTATGACAGGAAAAAAAATCTAGACAAATATCAAAGCTTTTGAATTCTGAACAAATTATGAGAATGCAACTGTAACAAAACACAATGAATTATGAACTAAGACAGAATGAAGATGTAATGAAGAGATATACAGTAATTAAAACTGCTGAGAATGCACTTATACTGTTCTAGGTTTATAGATGTAATGTAAAATTTAACCTTTGGATATTTATGCTAGGTAATCCACTGTTCTGCAGGTGTTTAAGAGCATCTATTACCAGCAAACCTAGCTGCATATTAGGCATTTGAGTAGTGGAATGTTCAAACATTGACAAAATGGTGACTTCACTGTGTGTGTTAACAGAACTTGACATTAAAATGTTGCTTTTGTTTGACTTTCTCAAAGCTTTACATTTTTGTTTTATATTCCTTTCCAAGCAAATGTGTACATTAACACAATCAGACAATCATTTTAAAAAGTGACACATTTCTTATAAATCTTATTGTCTAGTAGTAATGATGTATGTACAGTAAGTGCCCAGGCCATGGCTTATTTTCTGTCCAAAGACTTGAAAGTATGTAAAGTCAAAGCTTCCAGATCAGCCAGAGAAAAAGAGACTTCATCTCTTGTTCCCCACTAGCTTATGAAAAACGTAACAACTGAATTTGTGTGGCAGTCTTCAAAAGAGCAACACAGACAAAATCTTGAGCAAGGAGCAGCAGCAGTAAGATGTCACATCAGATACAGTACCCTCACTTTTAGGAACTGGTTTTACTTCTAGGATACAATGAATAAAGTCATTAACACACAAATGCAAAAACTGACAATTAGATTAAATAAAGGAAATATCCATAACAATTAGAAAAGCTGAAACAGGATACACAGTGTGAATATATAAAATATGTTTGGATTATGAAGGAGGCAGATGAAAAAGTCAAATTCTGTTATACCAGTCTGTGAAGCCACATTTTTTTTTTATTTTTCAAACGTTTGTTTTTATCTAGACATACAGTGCAGCAGTTTACAGAAGAGTTTGTCACTATAATTTTTTTATGTTTCTTATTTTTTAATTATTGAAAAATATAATTATATAATATTCGTATATTATATAATAGGATTCATAGACGTAGAAAGTAAAGCAAAGAGTAGTTGTTAAAGCAAAGTATAAGGAGTAAATCCAGAGGCATCTATAAGTCTTGGGTTAATTTTTACTGGCTGACTGGGAATCTTCACAAGAGGTTACATGCATGATTTAACAGCTTAATTCCTTAGTTGAAAGAAAGATTTTATGGTAGTGATCACAGTAGTCTTTTCCCTATGAAAAAAAAAACACTTGCAAGATCTTTTGTATAAGTTTCTTTTTAATGTAGTATAATCTTTTAGTTAATGCGGCCATTTAAAAATGAAGAGTAGACTCAACAGCAGTTTTCTTTATTGCGATACTAATTATATAGATGTGCTTATCCCTTGATACAGGTATCTTTGGTCAGAAGCTGGAGGAGACCGTTCGATATGAGAGGAGGTTTGGCAACAAGATGGCGCCCATGTTGGTAGAGCAGTGCGTGGATTTCATTCGCCAGAGAGGGCTCAAGGAGGAGGGGCTTTTCCGTCTGCCGGGACAAGCCAACCTTGTCAAAGAGCTTCAGGATGCCTTTGACTGTGGGGAGAAGCCATCCTTTGACTGGTAAGAATGGTCATTCAAAAGAAAAGTGTTGTCTGGGTATCTTTCTTATTACTTCTTTTTTCACAGAAACCTCTTATGTCCTATCAAAGATTAATCCAATACAGAGAAAGGTTTCACTTTCTTCACACTCTCCAGGAAAGAAACCAACGACTGATATTGTGCTTTTAAAAATATAAGATTTTTACCTACAGTATGTTTCTTAATACTGACCATTTTATGTGTCTTTCTTAATACTGACCATTGTACATGTCTTTCTTAATACTGACCATTGTATGTGACTTTCTTTTAAACACTGCCATTATGCATCCATGTTGAATTTCCAATAGTCAAAATATTATTATTGTCATATGAGAGAACACCGATTTTAAAAACTTTTCAATTTTAGTGTTGACATTTTCCATATAGAATGGTCCTTTAATAAGAAATTAATTTAATAACTAATTAATTGCAGATCATGATCATTTTGTGGTGCAGTATTTCAAAGGATATTCTCTTTGGAAATGCAAAGAGGGTGGTACTTTAAGATCTTAGAGAACAAAATCATTTTATAGGATAGACTGCATCTGACAGCACAAACTTTTTTATAATCACCTGTTGGTTGTTTCTATATGACCATCAGTTGAAGAAACACCATGGATTTGAAAGTGGTGATGCATGTACCTGGTATGTAATCAGTGGTGCAGAGCTACCATCTGTGGGCTTATGATAAAATGTCTCTCTGCAGGTCCCTTACAAAGCACAGGAAGCTGCCTTGTAAAAATAAGAACTTTTTTCAATTAGGAAATATTGATCAAGCCAAACTCAGCTCTCTTGGCTGCTTCTAATTTCCCTGGCCTATTGAGGCTAAACATTGCAAATTGGAAAAAGAAATAAGACAGTTACGGATTGTAGGCCACATGGTGGTATGCTGCAGCCAGAGACTGCAAGACAGCAGGACCCCTAGAGCAGAACATGTCCTCTAAACTCAGACAAGCACTACTGCATCTGACATTGAGAGATGCTAAGGAATACTTAACAACTTTGCTGCTCAAACAGTTTAAGAACAATAACAGCTTCCTGCATTCCAGTGTTGAAACAGCTCAACTAATGTTATTACACTATATCAACAGCCTCACAGAGTTCTCCTCTAAGTAAGTGGTTATAGGGTGGCTAGGTATGTGATTAGACAGCAAGTTTTCGAGAACGTAATGAGCTAAAGAATGCTCAGTTTTTTTAATATGGATTGTGTGAAGAAATCCAGTAGAACAAAAAATAACCCTGAAACAAGACATGCTCTTGGTAGCACTTACACCAACAACAGGTAGATGCAAACCCAGATAAGCTCTATGTAGTATGGATTCAACTCACAAAATGTATGAACACAATCTGTGCATGACTGAAGTTATTGGTGCAGGAAAACACTGTTGGAAGCACCTCAGAAAATATGCATACACATTCTTAAGCAATGTCTCAAATCAGAATATTCTGTTGCTTGTTCTTTTTTTCATTTTCGTTTTTCCGGCAATCTGTCATGTGCACAGTGTTTTGATTTGGATGGCTGCTTTTTTTTGAAGAAGAAGATGTAGTTCATCTACAACTTTTTCAGAAGTGGCATTTTCAAGTTTTACATGAAACAAGTATTGTAGTAGCAGACACAAGCAGTGATGAGTTAATGTTACATAAAAAGTGTCTTATGTTTATAAGGTGACCTACTTTTAATTTATTTTAAAATGTGCCAGTAGTATGGAATTGTGCATGTTAGTACCTTGTCATAAATCAGCCTGTGAAAATTTTTAGCAAATTAAATTACAGAATGTCTTTTCCACTGACAGCACATAGCTGGGTAATCCCAGAGCCTTGGAATTTATTATAGATTTGTAACAGACACCATAACTCAGAAATGGCACCACCTAAAGTGAATTATGTGAAATCCTCTCATTAAGTGAGTTATAAATCTTGCCTGTTGCAGGATGTCCACTACTCTGCCATTTATCCCTCTCACGTGTTATACTGTATTTGCTTCAGAAGTTGTTACCACTGTATGTTCATTTAAAATGATTTAAACTGAGGTTCCTATTAACATTTATTTACTTTTTAGGCCAAATACAACAGCTCTGCATTTCTAAATAAACACTTTAATCAAACTGGAAAAATGAAACAAAATTTCAGATTAAAATCTGTGAAAATTTAATCTTTTCATGCTTTTTTTGGGAAGTCAGCTCCTGTGATCTTAACGAGAGCTGAGATGTTTTCTGTATGTACACACCCAAATGCAGAGTAGCTGTAGTTAGTGAGAACTTTTTGATGGCGTGTAAAAGTATATTGTAAACTGTTACTAGTTCTTACCCTGTACATTATTCCTTTGATCTTTTTAATTAATTCTCACAAAGATCTTCTTTTTATCTTCAGTAACACAGATGTACACACCGTGGCCTCACTCCTCAAGCTATATCTGAGGGAACTTCCAGAACCAGTCATACCATTTGCAAAATATGAAGAATTCCTTACCTGCACTAAACTCTTCAACAAGGATGAAGAATCTGTAAGTTTAGTGTCAAATCTTTTGTTCTATTTTACTCAAACCATTGCACTCCCCTCTCTCTTCATGCTTTTTTCAATCTCCCGTGCCTCATGGGTATTATATTTGATTTAGGCAACAGAGCAATCACCTAAAATAATCATCTATTCAGTTTACATAGACACGGTGAATAATAACTAGTGAATACTCTCCCCTTCATCTTTTTTGTTATTCATAACATCATCATTTGTTAGGAGTAACCCATAGATTTGATGTTTTATGAATGTAGACAACCACTGAAATGTATTTTCTTCCATACATGGCAGCCTGTTTTACAAAAGAAAAAAAAATTATAAGCTCTTACAGAGCTGTAGGCAGCAGTGGTTAGCATTGCTGTCTCACAGTACTGGGGCCCTGGCTTCAATTCCAGACCTGGAGTGCAATCTCCATGGAGTTTGTATCTTCTCCCCATGTTTGCGTGGGTTTCCTTTGGGCGCTTGAGTTTTCTCCCACAGTCCAAAGACATTCTGGTAGGTTAATTGGCTCATGGGAAATTTGTCCTTGGTGTAAGAGAGTGTGTTTGTATTCCTATGTATGCCTATGATGGACTAGTGTCCCACCCAGGGTGTATTCTGCCCTGTGCCTGATGCTTGCTGGGACAGGCTCCTGCTGCCCTGTGACCCAGTATTAGATAAAGTGGCTAAAAAAGGATGGATGAAATATTGTACAGGACCCTATTGTATCCTGACTGTGACTCATTTCTAAATAAAGACAGACATATGGGACTTCAGAGCGAAGGTGATAAAATTCTTCCTGGGGAAAATTTCTGGAAAATTAAGTTATTGTTGTTTGGGTTTGGGCCATAATTTCACAGAAAAAAAAAATATTGTTGTTATAAATGTATAAAACACATGGACTTCAGATGAAAAATCGATTTAAACCAACATGATAGAAAAGTAGTATTTCACAGAAAATTTAAAATATCGTTTAACATAGTGAAAGTTATTTAAATTTTAGTCAAATTTAAAATCAATTTAAAATGTAGTTCTGTCTATAAAAATTAGAAGCACAATATCAACGACAATATAAAGGTATATCATTTGCAGCTACTGTATCAATACTATCCAATGAGAGAGAAGCATTCTTCTTGGCTGGTGTGTACTGCTATTTATAAAGAAAGCTCCAAGGTGTTCCAGACTGACAGAGACTGAAAATGATCATGTAAAAATCATGTAAATGTATACACTTGTAGATTAGGTTTGCAAATCTTTCAAAAATATTGTTTTTTTTTCATCCAGGGAATGAAGGAATTAATGAAACAAGTAAAAAGCCTACCTCCAGTCAACTACAACCTGCTTAAGTACATATGCAGGTAGAGTATCTCCCATTCTAATAAATATAATATAAAGAAATAGATGGCAGACAGAAATTTAAAGAAAATCAGTAAAATGTATTTAATTATAAAACTACATTCTGGTTGTAGTCATTATTACAGAATATAATTATTACTAAGCTGTCTTTTAATTACTGTTTGTGATTTTTTTAATTTGCCAGGTTCCTTGATGAAGTTCAGTCGTACTCAGGTGTGAATAAAATGAGTGTTCAGAACCTGGCCACTGTGTTCGGGCCAAACATTCTGCGTCCTAAGATAGAGGACCCTGTGGCAATCATGGAAGGTGAACCCTTTGCTTTTCTTAGATTTTTAGTCCTCCCAAAAATAAAATCATTTTCAACATAAATGAAAAACTACTGTACAGATAACACAAACATATTGGCTTGTTTTCACTCTGGCAGGTACAGTGCTTGTGCAGCAGTTGATGTCTGTGATGATCGGGAAACACGACATGTTATTTCCCAAAGACGAGGAGAATGAGATGGTTGATGAGGTCTCCAACAACAACATTGAGGCTCAGAAGAAATATACCACAGGACAGCTTCAGAATAAAGAGAACAACAACACCAAAGAAGTATCAGTGAGGCAGTGCTCCTGGGATAAACCAGATTCTCCCCAGAGGAACAGTGTTGACAATGGCTCTCCAACTTCCCTGGGGGCCAACAGGTCAAGCAGCCCCCGGAACAGTCTGAGCAGTAAGTTCGATATCACCAGGAGCCCTCCTCTCATGGTGAAGAAAAACCCGGCCTTCAGTAAGGGCAGTGGGATTGTGACCAATGGCTCCTTCAGCAGCTCTTCACTGGATATGCAGGAGAAGAGCCAGACTTTGCCTAATGGGACTCTGCAGGCCAGGAGAACATCATCACTGAAAGGGACGGGGACTAAAATGGGTACCAGTGGTGTGCCCAATGGAGGGGTGAGAATGGGTATTTCAAGCACTGACGTGATGAATGCCACTCTGAACACCCGCAATGGAGTCTGGATGCCCAATGGCTATGTGACCATGAGGGACAATAAACAGAAGGACTCACTGAATGAGCAGTCCACACAGCAGAACAGACTGTCCACTTATGACAATGTTCAACAGCAGTACTCATCAGTCAACTGTGAGGACAAGCAGAGTGTAGACAGTGCAACCTGGTCTACATCATCCTGTGAAATCTCCTTACCGGACAACTCTAACTCCTGCCGTTCCTCCACCACCACCTGTCCTGAGCAGGACTTCTTTGGTGGGAACTTTGAAGATCCTGTTCTGGATGAACCCTCCCGAGATGACATCTCTCAGCCCGGGGAATTCGACAGCAAGTTTGACCGTCAGAGTGGGGGAGGCCAAAGCAGCCGAGCCACTAGCAGCAGTGACAACAGTGAAACATTTGTGGCAAACAACACAACAAGCAATCACAGTGCCCTGCATAGCCTTGTGGCCAGCCTAAAGCAAGAAATGCTGAAGCAAAAGACTGAATATGAAACAAGACTAAAGAGGTATGAGCTCCTGTATTTAAGGAAACAATACAAAAAACCTTGTATGATTTGGAAAGGCATTCCTTCGGCAGCTTAGTATCATTATTTCATCTTCAGGGTGTAACAGGAAAACAAGCAATTTATTATTTCTAGTACATACTGTAATTATTGTGAAAAACTAAGCAGTGCAACTAGAGTAACATAATAGTTTAAAAGCGTTCTGTAGCTTTTATATGTCAATGTACAACTTTAACATTATATCCACCACAAAGCACTACACTTACATCAATTGATTAATCTAAGGATAAACCACTCAATCTGACTATAACTAATCAAAATCCAGCATTATAAATCTCTCGCACAAAACTATTTCAGCTTTCACAGCACCTTTTATTAACAGTATTACTTCAATGATTGGTATATTGCTTTTATAAAGGAATCACGATTTGATTAGTAATTCATTTTTGTTCATTAACTAAGTTTTTAAACTCCATGGAAAATGCAATGTTAAGTAACACTAAATCTGGTCTTGTTTTATATCTTTTTTTCTTAAAATAGATTTGTCAATGTATTTAATTTATGAATATATTTTTCTTTTGCTCTTAGATTGTTACCATAATCAGCTACAATAGCACAAGACAAAAAAATTAGACTTAACTCCTTGCAGGACATGAACCACCAATATAACTGGCTTGATTTCTTTGCATTTAAATTGTAATATAAATAATAAAGTGTTTTGCCTGTTGGTAGACCATTCTGCAGTATATACAGTATGTGCAGTTTGCAGATTTGTTGAATGGGACTGACTATAGAAAGAAAAATAAAATGAGCCTGAATATTGACACAAGAGGTCATGAGAAGAGTTCAGTGCCACAACAAGAGCATTTACCAAAACAAACAGCACAAAAGACTGTCCTTCAGTTGTTTTGCCTTGCACATGGGATCAGGTGAAACTGTGTGGATTTGTAAATAAGTATACAATACCTCCTTTAGGGGAAATGCTAATAAGCAGTCATGAATTGACTGACATTAGAAAACTGCTTATTACCAGCAAACTTTGCATACAGTACCTTCCAGTAACTCTTTGCATATTCCCATGTGACTGCTTTAGAATGCCCACACTGTAAAAATATCCTAGTGATTCACTAGGTCTTGCCGCCTGATCTAGAACTGATTAAAAACCATTACAAGGAACCTCATGTTCAAATGAAACAAAATCTGTATCTACCGAATTTTCAGTAACTAAAGGTTCTTTTAGCACAGTGGAAAAGAATACTCCAGACATTTGTTAATACACTCAGTAGCTCAATTTGGTATGTATTGCTGCTAAACAACAGCATACATGATCATGATTTTTGAAAACCTGCCCAAAATTCAGATTTGTTAGTCATTCAGTTATCACACCTAATGAAGGAACAAATTAAAGGGATTGAAGACAATGAGAAGACAATAAAAAAAAAACCTGTAACTGTTTTTTTGGCTCAAGAGCAAAATTTTTCAACAGCTCCTATAATACTATCTCCACTAAGCATTCTAAAACAATGTATGCATGATTTAAAACAAAAAAAGGTTGTCTGACTACTCTATGCACAGTCCTCTTTTTAAAATGTGTTCCTTTATGCATTTAAATGACATTCAGAACACACAGTGCATATATTGTTCTGAAAGTCATTACATCAGTGTGGAAATGTCTATTGTTGCAGAATACAAAAATATAAGTGCAGCTGTCAGAGGATTATTGGCTCACACAGAATGCAACTCTCCACCAGTCTGAAACATGCAGGCCTGAACAGTTATTTGTACCATGACCAGCCCCTTTCCTCAATTATAATATTTCTTGTTGCTATTATTGTTACTCCTACAGCCTGGAAAACAGGAATCTTGATCTGGAAGCAGAAATGGTGTCCCTGCACGAGGAGCTGGATCAGGAGAGGAAGAAGTACACTATGGTGGAAATAAAGCTGAGAAATGCTGAACGAGCGAAGAAGGATGCTGAAAAAAGAAATGAGACTCTGCAAAAGGAAATGGAGCAGTTTTTCTCCACATTTGGGGAATTAACAGTGGAGCCCCGGAGACCAGAGAGAGGCAACACTATATGGATTCAGTAAGAAGGGGCAGAACTGGGCCAAAAAAACATTTCTCGAACACTGTTGCTGTGTGAGTAGAGTATCAGGTGACTGGTCACCTGACTGAGGCTAGCACTCGAGTCATGAATCTAGAAGGAAAACAAAGAAACATTTCATTGCCAGTATTTTTATTGTGTACTTTACAAATATATAACCTGCTTATGTTACTGGTAAGTGTTATATCTGGTTGTGTGTATAGATACAAGGTACTGTACAGTATGTCAGCAGCAACCACATGCAAATATCTGAAATAAGAAATATTTCAATGCAAGTCTTGTATTTAAGCTGAAAATTGTGTTTTGTTTCAAATCAAGGTTTTTCCTTGCACTTATTTTTTTTTAATGTGGTACTGTACAATTAGTTGTACATCAATTTCATTTCCTCTTATGTTTCCCCCATCCCTGGAACAAAAAACATCTTTAATTTAAAATATATCATGGCTGTGCTTATTGTGCCATTTGACTTTGTCCATGACCAAAAAAAGAAAATGTAAATATTTTATAAAATATGCTATGTACAGTGCCTTTGCCTTTGTCTTTTATTACTCTAGACGCTGTTTTAATAATATATATAGAGAGAGATGTGTGTTTGTGTGACTCTTAGCACTTTCAGTGACAGTAGGTTTAGTAGTTAATATTTTGTTATATAATATAATCCTGCAGTGGGCTTCTCATTCTTTAATTTATTATCTGTTTTTCAAATCAATTTGTCTTATTTATTACAAACATCTAAAAATGCTGGGCATTAAATTTTGTGTTATTTAGTCAGTTTCAGAAACATTTATTTTGCCATTAATATTATGAGCATATTTTTAACTTTTTGATAGTTGGCTTTCATGATTTTTTTCTATTTAGAGTGAAATTTCATCTGAATGGACAAGACCACATTCTTGTGGTTTTCCAGATTTTAACCTACAAACGTAAGTGGCTTGTGAATTTTCAGTAGAAAAACCAAGCAAAACCCAACTAAGCAAGAAAAATAATTGTTAATGTTCAAGAGTGAGTACCTACATTACAGTATGTCAGCAATATAAATATGAAAGCTCAAAATGGAACCTAACCTCAGAACAATCAAAAAAAAATGCAGTACGGCTGTACTCTGACAGCAGGGGTATTTTTTTTTACTATAGAAGTCAAAAGAGAAACACACTTAGCATTTATGTACATTCTGTTGAAATGTGGGGATGTTAGATTAGATAAATTAGATGTGTAATGTAAAAAAATGTAAAGTAGTAAAATATGAGATAGACTGTTAATGGATTAGTAAAAAAATATTCACTTAAATAATTGACCACCAATAGTCAGTAATAGTGGTCTGGTAATAATGGAAGTGAAAATGGAAATATTAAAGAAGAGATGTGCTTACATTTAAAATAATTTAAAAACTGGTCTGAAGTTTGAAAAAAGGATAAAGTGAATAAAAAGCTGTTTAAAACAGTATCCTCAAAGGAAATCTTGCACATTAAGATAACTCATTTTTAAACACCTGGATATGTAAGTGTCACAGACCTGGAAGTGTTACTGTAGTGTGAAAATCAGGTTTTATTTGGTCAGTTTACAGGCAGCCTCCTCTGTAGTGATTAATGGATACAATTTTGTTGAAAGGGATCAAAGCAACATGAGATAGGACCCACACCCACACATCGCATGGCACTGCAGAGCAAAGATCCCAGCATCTGCTGAAGGGAATACAATGAAGTTTCAGCTTTGTTGCCAAACAGACAAATATGGATAGAGGCTAAATGTGACTCTCACGTACATTGTTTATTTCCTTCTCTGCCAAGGAGTAACATTTCAGCTCTTTTGCCTTGACACCTAATAAATGATTGAAGCTGCCTAACCATTAATTTTAGTGTTTGCTTTAGTCCTCTTTGTTACCCATCTATAATCATAACTGTCAGAAGACTCCAGTTTGACATAGGTGGGCTTTACACCACTTTCCTGGAGGTGCCTTCTAGAAAGTAAAACTCCCAAGAAACGTTATAAACTTAATTAAGTTATGGGGAATTTTTAAAAGTACGTTTTATGTGAATATAAAACATAGCTAGAGAACTGTGAAGATTATGGTTACATAGACAAATCACCATCGAAATGGGAGTACACACACAGTATTTAGAGACAGCTCTGTAATGCTGTGGTAAAGCCCTGTCTCCAGTGCTACAGTATTTTTCTTTTCTTTCTGTGATCTTCAAGAAGGTTCTAGAAAGTAATCTTCACTCGATCCATAGCAACCTGGATTATGTGTGTGTTTGCACAGGGGGAGATGGAGGGGGCAAAATAAAATGTTCCAATGACTACAGATGTGGTGAAAGAAGCAAAATCACAAGCAGTTAATAAAGAAACAAGGCAATAAATACATTTTCATCCTACCAAAAGGACAACATTGCAGATCAAGTGAATGTATCAATCTGGTGAGTGCGAGTGCAAGAAATATGAAGGCATCTGGATATGAAGAAAAGGACAGAAATGTATAAAAAATAAATTTGTTAAAAAAAAGAACACATCCATTTCCAAGTTCAAAGTTTTTATTTTCAGTCACATACATATATTTATTTTTACATACACAGTACCTTTAAAATGTTGAGTGCTTCTACATTTTTTGTTGTTTTTTTAACCATTTCATTTTTTTTCAAATTTAAATTCAAACGCTACCCTGGAGCTGGAGTTTGAAAAACTGGCATACTTACAAAGCACTGCTGTAGGAACCACATACAGAAAATCAGTCTTACGTCTTAACAAAATGGTTCACTAACAGTAGGGAGAAAAAACAGAATAGAAAGAAAAAAAAACACCACCTGATTTATTTTTCAATGTCTTTTGAATTAGACTTGACACAAGATTCTAAATACTTAATTTCAAATGTCAGAAAAGCAGCCACCCTCACTCCTACCACAGTAGACAATTGTTTATTGCACTGTAATGTTTCTTGGAGGATAATAAAAATGAATCTCGACCATTTAGATCACTGCCAGTATTGCTGTCTTTTTAGTAAGATGACTCTGCCTCATCTATAAAAGTAATGAAATTTGGTAAAGAAAAGTGCTGATGTACATACAGTAGGGTTAGCAAAGGGAGGCCTAATGAGATATAAAATGCACTGCGTAGCTTTTTTCCCCAATAAAACAATGCTAAAGACAGAGCTTGATTATTTAAGCAAAGTACTGTTTTGCATACTAGAGCTGTCCAACTATGGTAATATGAACTGAGGTAATATACTTAAAAAAGCTTAAAACTTGTTTTGTGCCTTAAGTAGATATACTGAGGGATGATGTTCACAATTTTGTGAGTTAATTGTGAAAGTCTGTCTAATCTTAAGATGAAAGGTATCCTACAGTAGGTGTGGGGATGGGAGAATGAGATTTTATACTGTAGTAGTCAAGAGTTTAAATAAAGCCACAACATTTAGATGTTTTCCTGCTTGAACAGCATGTTTATTATCAAACTGTGAAATAAAACTGACACTATAAAGAAAATATATAGAAAATGTTCTTGTATAAAAGCTACATCACTACCACAAACGTAATGACATAACAAAGCATAAAAATGTCAAGCTCCAATCACCTTCTGAAGCGAACATTTTGACAATGAAAAAAGAAGATGGGTTTTTTCAATTAATGTACCAAAAACAAAAATCATCAAATTTTGTTTCAGAGGTGTTTAACTTTAGGAAGTAATTAAAGTGAAACAATCTAGAGTAGCACCATGTACTGTATGCCACAAAGATGCTTTCCCAGAGGACAAAAAGAAAAGTGTCAGACCAAACAAATAGCTGTCACAGTACACGTGGATACAATGTGTTCTGAACGGGCTGTCTCTTGAAGAACATTGTTTTAACAAGTTTTAATTTATGCTATAAAACCAAATACCTCCATGGCAATGGGAAATTATTTGAAAAGCTTGAAAAATGTATTTTTATTGGCAGTCGGGGATTCCCCTAAAAACAGAAAAACCCTACAGCTTCACTAATACAAGACTGCAATTCTGAGGATGAATAATGGCAAACCAGACTAGTCATTAAAAATGACAAAAGTAATACAAAGTTGACACTTGTGACCTGTGAATCGTGTGGATGTAGTAGCTCCTCTTTAAAGCAAATACAATAATACAGCAGCACATTAGTTTTCTTAGTAACAGACCATTGTGGTTCAATTACAACAAAGCTGCGGTACAATAATCACTGTCTTTCATTAATGGAGGATGAACGCCATCAATTTTGTAAAGAATTCTTCCAGTCCAATCGGAATTGTTTGCCAGCTCCAGTTAATTTACCAGTGAACCTTAGTGTTCTGTTCCCAAGAATCGTACATTGGCTATTCATGTAAAACAAATTCATCAGGTTATTTGGCAAAAGGTATAAGGTACAGCTGAAATATATATTTAATGTGACATTTCTGTTTAAATGTAGGTCTATCTAAAGTTACGTTTTGGGAGCATTGTCCATGCAAAATGATTGCTAGACTGTCAAGTTTGGAGCTCACTGAAAAACAATGAATGTCCAAAGACTGATTTGCTAGCCTATGGAATGTGGACATAAAACAGACAACATAAACAGCACACTTGGCACACGGGGTCTATCTGAACAGCTCTATCTACTACAAAGAAAAGTCTAACAAGTATCATTTTTCTTCAACAGCCCTTTCACCGTTCCACAAAAGCATACAATGGGAAAAGGGGTCATACTGCGAGGTGTCGTGATCTATATGTGAGATGGGTAATTCATGTGAGCACAGACTCTGTCTCATTCCTAAACACTGGAGAATTTTTTTTTTATTGAGTTATGGCATTTCCTGTAACAGCTATTATTAGATGTGATTTGCTTGATATACAGTTTTTAACATTATACAAATAAATGTTAAGTTGAAAATGTAAGGGAAAGACAAATTTCTCTATCAACCAGGATTAAGCATCACTGATGCTTGAAATGTTGAAATTTGCCTGCTGTAAAACTACTGTAGATTTCTGAACCAAGCTTCTAAGAAGATCTGACCTAACTATCAGCTCAGCTACCTTTTAATGAAGTTAGTGAAAAAACAACATTAATTTCATAAACGTCCGTATAGAGCTATGTAAGATTTCCTGTAACTCAAAAATTAAAAGTAATAAAGCTTCTTTATTCTCAGTATTCATTTCTCAGACATGGATAAATAACAGTAGGGAAACAGAAGTTGGCTTTATGAAGTCAACCATGATCCCTATTGATTGTGTCCGACAATGCCAGGGGATCTTATGTACTTAACTCCACAACTTTAAAATGTTTTCTGTATTAAATGGTTTTAATCTTGAAATTAGCATGACCTTGTCATCGGTTTAAACAAATCCAGGAAATGTAGTCCATTGCCTTTTTGATGCACTCACACTACTACATAAGCAAAAAAAAATAATGCTTGCTTATTCTAAATGTTTAATATCCCAAAATAGTGTAAATAGCTTTAATGTATTAGAACAATGCTATTCTTTTTTAACAGATTAAAATAATTGTTAATTGTTGTAAATTTTTAAGGGATCAGAAGAATTGAACAGTTAATGTAAAAAATGATAAAAGAAAGTCTTTAAACTAAAATATTGTTTTATTTTACAACTTATTCTGTGCACCTAACATCCATTATCATCATAAATGGGCAATCTATATTAGATAGATTATTATCAAACAAGAGTTTTACCCCAATTTATGTTAGAAATCATAAATTTTACCAAAAATAAATCACAGAAAGCTGTTCTGATCAGCAAAATAATGTTGTAATGAGCACTTTCCTCCTGAACTGTAGCCCTGAACTGTAGCCATCCTCAATCTCTGAATCAAAGATTATGTTTTTTGTAGATTTAGATTCATGTGAGCTCAAGAAACCATTCAATGCAACTTCATGCATTTAATACAATAAATTATGTCCTAAAACTAATGCTCTCTAAAATATCTATTAAAGATTAAAAAGTGTTTTTTTATTTTTACCAAAGGTCTAATTCAAATCTTGTTTCATTGCACCAATGAAAATATGTCTTAACTGCAGATTCCTTCAATGAATATTTGTAATGTAATAGATTTCGAAAGGCAAGATAGGATACCACTTGAAGAATTCAGTTATAGGGCACAGGCTCCTTATTAATTACCTTGTAAGATTATACAGAGGCCATTTGTAAACTTGTTCACAGAAAATCAATCCACACTTGGGAGACAATCCATACCAAAACTCAGCACTTTCAATGTAACCACCTGTAGTGAAATTGTATGGTACTGGTAATGAATGCTCTTTTTTTCCTTAGAGCACTTTCACAAGATTCTTCTGCAAGTTTAGCTTTGCAACTACATATCATCACTGTGTCACACATTGTACTACGCTGGAGTCCAGCTCCAGTGTCATATGACATGATTAACGGCTAAGTAAAATATACGAAAAGGTGATTTTTCTCTTTGGGTGAAATCTTAACTTTCAAAGGTTCTTTTTTTCCACTTGTTACTGGTCTATCTATACACATTTGATTGTCAGTTCATACTGAAAAAAATAAAGAAATGACCACATTCATTTAGCTCATTCTATACAGACAGTTTGGCCTCTTGTATTTTGATTCTGAATTATTATGTACTGTTAAAACTCTGAAGTTTAGTTTTGAATACTTTATAATTCTGGAAATGCCTCCATCTCACAGCTACTCTTTTAAGGGAGTGCAAAGTCTCAGTATCATATCAATAAGAGAATATTACTTGGAAAGTTAACTTAACTTAAAGTTCAAGCCAATGTTTGGGGCTGATATTCTTCCAAAATGGCAATTCAGATCAGGTGATGAATAACTTTTTATGATATTGAATGATGTGTCTGAAAAAAGGGTTACAAACAGTTTAAATAGTAAGAGGCACAGAATGTGCCAAAACTAATTTTATATAATTAGATCTGGACTGACTTGTGTACAGTAAATGTCAGAAAAGCTAGGTTAATGCAACCTACAGGAGAGCTGGGAATGTTAGATCATCCAGACACACATCAATCTAGAATGGGTCATCATTTACTGGTGTGCCCTGTAACTGAATGGGGTAAATGTGACAAATTCACAAGCCTTCGTTATCTAGGCCAACAGTGTAAAACACCAATTCTCAAGAGTAGCAGTCCTGCTGGACTTTAGGAATTTTTTTACATCACCACCTGCCTAAAGTTCAGCCAATCACTCTTTGAAAGTATTCAAAAGCTTAAAGCTAAATCCAGGACAGGTTATAGCCTTTAAACTCTAGAGTCTCAAATCGAAACAATATTAACAATTAGCCTGCACTTCCAAAGTAGTGAATGAAACACACAAATAAAAAAGTTCACAAAAGCATAGCAGTCTGACAAAAGTGAGAATTGGATGCAGTATATGGTCTTTCTAGCACAGAGGGATGAGATTGTCGGACCAATTAGGTACTTGAAAACCTAATGAGTAAGACAGACTTATTAAATGGAAGGTCATGGGTCTTGGGTTATACCCATGAGCAAGGTGCTTCACTCAGCTTGCTTTAGTAACCCAGGTATACATATACTGTATATGTAAGATGTTTTGGACAAAGCACTAGTAATTTATTAAACACTTTGCTGCACTGGAACCTAAGACAAGTAAAGTAGCTTAGAAACTGAACAATGAAAAGAGAAGGCCATCCCTAACTGGTGGCACTGATGTCACCCTGTATGAAAAGAGGCATTGATGGTTCTTTTCCAGCATTCAATGTCTTATATCCCTCCATCAGCATACAGACTCACTGCATACAGAGGTCTACTACTTGACTAGTTCTCCGACATGTAACCAAACAGCTTCAACCCAAAGAACACATGAAGTCATGGGCGTTGCCTGAATCTCATTTGTTTGCATCCATGTCTATGACAAAGTATACATACTGTTTTCTTTGAACTCTGTGAGCTTTTTTATTTCTTAATGCATGCATTTCTTCTGGCTTAATAAGGGTAACAATAATGGTAATGTTAAAAAATTTCATGGAATGATACACTGTGCAATTAATGCTAATAATAAATAAACATGCCTTATTTTAACAACATTATATTAACTGGTGTGCATGAAAGACATATGAGTAAATAGTAAATTACTAAGTAAATTACCTCATCTATTACTGTTTTATGAATTATTACATACAGGACTGTGTATGATAATTCCTTTAAATTCAGAAAGGTGTAACATTTTGATCATGAAAAAATGCATCCATCCATTTTCTAAACTGCTTTATCCAGTACAGGATCATAGGGGGAGACAGCAGTCTAACCAGGCAAGCAACAGGCACAAGGCAGGATATACTCTGGATGGGATGCCATTTCAGGGCACATACCGTATACACACACTCACATCAGTTTTACAGAAGCAAATTAACCTACCAGTATGTCTTTGGACACTGGGAGGAAATCAGGGCAGTGGGAGGAAACCCACATGAACATACAAGTTCCACACAGATAGCACCCCAGGTCCCCAGGAATTGAACCCAGGGCCCCAGTGCTGTAAGAAAGCAATGCTAGCCACTGTGCCACCCTGAATAAATGCAATCATCTGAAAACAACCAAGGGTTTTGTGTGCGAGGGTAAATGGGGCAGGCAATCACAAGACAACAGACAATACATAGTTTGACATGGAAAAAAAAAGACTTATTCCTTGATGTTTGAAATCATACAGAGATGTAAAACTTAGAGTTTACAACCAAACATAACCTCACTGAGGATCAGACATACTGTCTTCCAAGGCTTTCCGGATGAATAACATATTATTGATAATATTTGTTATCCGGAAGAATAATAGATTCAATAAGATATATTGCCGTTTCACTTTATCTTAATTAACCAGTGGTGATTTTTGGTGGTTTCTTTTAGGTTACAAACGTCTACATGTTTAAAGGCACTTGCCAATTTTAGAGTTTATTTAAAAAAAAACATTAGGCAATCCAGATTTCTGGTACTAGGTAGTTCACTGTATCTTTGCTTCCCTTTCTAAGTAACGAAACATTCATAAAAACAAAATTAAAATAATAAAAATCAGTGCACAGTAAAAAGGATTGCAGCCTGTATTTTACAACCTTAGCAACAACTAAAAACTGTGATGAGGTAAATACTCCTAAGTTCATTTCTTCTTCATTTCTGTATTCTCCGCACTTATATAAGGCGAATGTAACTTGTTGCCCCAGTTACACAGACACAACTAAAGTAACCTTCAGTGTTATGAATGTACTTCATTAGGACCTTATGACGTGCATAAAATGTGTGACAACCAGGACAGCACTGTAATGCAACAGATTTATATAACACAAACAGCTAGGAAATAAATTTTTGAGCTCTTTATATGACAGTAATTCACCTTCGCCCCTGCAACTCAGGTACAACTGTTGCCAAAACTCTCGTGTTCTTGACCTGGCCAAATTTCACTTACATGGTTTATAAACAAAATCTTCATACGTATTTATCATATTATTAAAATTTTAATCATGCAGGACTACAGGCAAGGGCAACTAAGGTCAAAGATATGATATGGCAAGGTCTGCAGCTAATCCAATACTGGCCAATAGTCCCACTTGTTCTACATATCAGCTGTACAGAATTACATATGTACAAAGGGATGCTGTACAAGCCTTCCCCAGTGTAGTCTCATACAGTGCATGAGTATGTTCATTTCAGAAGGGTTAATTCGTTATTGGAGCTGGCAAAACATCTAGTTTTAGTAATGTAATAAATAGTAACTGACATTGGGGCTATAGAGGTTTGTAATAATCACAAAAGAAGGGGCCCACCTTGCCATATCAGTACAGAAGCTTGCAGGGTTGTTGGTATTCAGCCAGTAATTTACACTTTACAGATGCCCGTCTAAGCTTTTTTTTTTGCTATTTTTACTTTTTCAATGCCATATGAAGGAGGTTATAAGCAAAGCAACTAGACGTTAATAAATATACATTTCTGCATGAAATTGTTATTTTTTTCCCACTCTCTTATTTTTTTTTATTTTATAATGAAGACGCAGGCTGATCTGTTATTTTTTTTTCGTGTTCTGTAGCATTTCACCTTCTGAAGAACATCGGGTTACGCAGGCAGGCGGCTAGTCACCTGCAACAACCGAGGGGTCCTGCAGAGGTTTCCAGGCTGCTATCTGTGTCAGAGGCCAGAGTCTGGTCAGTGGACATGGAGGAGATGTCGTTGACTGAGGAGGATGGAGGGAGGCTCTCACTACTGTTCACGGCTGCACCTGTGCTAAGAAAATCAACAGCAATGGGATTAAAACTAAAAAAAAAAACAATTGCTTAATAAAAGGTTTAAAGCTTTAGGGTGTTAGACATGAGAGAATGCAAGTTAAGGATGGAGGTGTTGGTAAGCATCTTGTGAGATATTCAATAATGGTTTACATGATATATTTTGCACTTCAACCATAGCTTATTTTACATTTCAAGCTGATTTTGCTTTGTGTTCAATGTCCATGTTTTCACCATTGTTTAATGACTATTTCTTGGATGCCAGTACACTGATTTACTCAGTTCTTAAAAAAACGTTCTTACAAATTTAGTGTGGTAAAAAGGGAAGAGCATGGGTTAAATTAGGTTAGTCTCTGTTTTAATGTTTCTGGTTGTACAAAAGGTATACCAAAGCATCTTTCTCCATTTTTATTTAAGCTAGAATTCTGTTTTCCGGTCATTAATTCATTTTGCTGACACAAGCAAGCGCGTTAGCTGTAATAAGGGGCCATACAGGCAAAAATAACACAATTAAAAATATTTTTTAGTATTTTACACAAAGTTGAAAAAGCATCTATAGACTGTAACAAGGTCAATGATAGGTTAATAAACCTTTGGCTCAGCTTGAAGGTTTAGATATGTGACAGTTTCAAAATCTCTCTTAAGCCACTAGGTGGAGACATGAGCATGCGTATACTGTATATGGTACAGCTACAGTACGTAGTTTTGATCATTATGGGCATTCATAATTTTGCTAACATTTTTTCATATATATCCACCCATTTTCTAACCAGAAACTATCCTGGCAAACAAAGGGCGCATATTCAGGCTGCACCCTGGATGGGACACCAGTCCATCACAGGACATTCACAGATAAAACACACATACTGTACCAGCGACAATATTCCTAGAAGCCAATTAACCTACAAGTTTGTCTTTGGACTGTGGGAGAAAAAACAGAACACCCAACAGTAACCTACAGTACAGAAGCACAGGGAGAACATATAAATGCCACACAGGTAGCTACCCAGGAATTGAACGCCCCGGTGCCACCAGGCAGTAATGCTAACCATTATACCACCATGCCATCCTTTTTCATATTTCGTTTTTTCTGCTTAGCTCCTTAGAATGTGCAAACTTCTAGGAAATAATTAATATTGTCATGCTTCACATGACCATTGAATAAATGGATCTGAATACTATACTGTGAGTCATTAGATTTGTAATAAATGAGTGCTATATCCAATGGCATTTGTTGCATTTTTAATGCTCCTCACTATATATTTTTAACTTCTTAATGCTTACAAAAGACTATGGACTCCAAAATTCCTGCATGCTACCCCTTTCTATTATTTAAAATATATAACCCACAAAAGAATGTGAACATAAATTTAGCATAAGAGCACATTTCTATCCAGTGTACACCATTTAAATTGGTATTTATTGTTTTCACAGAGAAAACACCCATTTAAATGGTGTATGCTGGATAACAATCTAAAGAGAAAGTGACAGAACAGAATAGTTTTTATTATATAGAATAAAACGTTGTATTTCAGTCTGTAAAACCTACAACATCCATGTGCCATGGTATAAACATTCATTTTTTTGTAGCAATGATGAATTGTTGACGTACTGTATATTTACCCCCCTTACCATAACTTGCTCAGTTGTACAAACAAGTTGTACATCTAAAAACAATGGAAATAATACAGGAAAAAGAACTTGGATGATGATGTTTAATTTTCATTACTTACAATTTACTTTATTATTTATAATTGCAGGACACTCATTTTAACTCATTCAAAGTACACGAAAGAGAGGAATTCCCAGATAAGCATACAGAAACAACTCACAAAGATGACCATTAAAAGTTTTTGCTAAAATTAATTGCAAAACATCTTCAAAGATGTCTTGTGAACTGCAGGAAGCACCTTGAGACTTCTTTGAAGACTACACAGAAAATGAATAAATGGAGGTGGATTTAAAGATGCAAAGCAAGGAAAGTGCCCTGGCCATTTGCAGAACTGTATACTAAAGCTAAGCAAGGATTAAATGGTTTAAAACCTGGACAACTGAGAACTACTGTAGGTAAAAATATTTACCTGTAGGTTAGATTAGAACAAAGGTTTGGGTTAGAAAACAGCCTGTAAATGAGGGAGAATGATATACTAATCCTACAAATGCTTTAAAAGACTATCACACCCACAATTCCTTACGTTGCTCAATCCTTTTGTTGAAGGTTACTCAGGCTCTTTAGCTGTCCTCATAAGTAGGCGAGTTGGGGGAAGTATTTCCTCTGATTTCATTGTCCCAACTGTCATCGGCAGGGGCTGGCAACCTGTTATTATGTGAGGTCAAATGAGTTCTAAAACCTAAACAAACATGTGGGAGGTCTATCTTCGGGCCTTTTCTTAAATCTATGCTTCTTTAAGCTGTCTATCGACATAACAATTCTACATGACAGATATGATAAGCTATAAAGAGTAGCTATCAGAAATTTATATTCCCTTTTAGTTGGGTCTGGTCTCTCGACTGTCCTGGTGTTCTTCAAAGGCAAAGCTATGAAAATATCTGGAAAATACGCAGTAGTGTCATGACCAGAAACTTCTGAACAATTTATTTTAGGAATTTTTGTCTGGCAGATACATGTATATTCTTAAAAACATCTGTGCACATTACCAGAGGGTTCTGACCAAATTTTGGTCAAAGCTGTTTAAGAGTAATTAGCCACAAACATAAAAAGTTAATATTCAACACAGAATAATAAAACTTCATATATGATAAATAAGGCAGTTCATACATTGTTATGTATTAATGATTTTTAATGTATAAAATATTAATAGAGGATTTTACACCTCACTGTGTATCACAACCTGGCAAACTATGTGGAGGGAAATGAGAACAAAATAATAAGGCAATGAAAAATAACACCACTCAAACCTCTAAATTGAAAATGAAAATGAGCCGTGCAAGGAACCTTCATTTCTGTCCTTCAAATTATAGCTCTTTCCTCAGGGCAGTCATTTTGCAAGGTCTAGCTGCAGAGGGGAAATGTGCCCTGTTAGCATTATAATCTTACAAAAAAAAAAACTCTTCCAAGTTGAACCAAGCTGAATGAGTTGAAGTAAACTTCCAACTTGTATTAAAATGAAATCTGCTATTGAACAACAATGCGGTGCCAAGATGTCCTCTTAATAATTAATTACACTTAACAGTTCAAACTGTAAGATTTGTATAGCCCTTCTCATCGCAAAGGAACTCAAAGTACCTTCACATACAGTATAGGAGAAGAATGACTTTATCTACACCTAAAATGCAATACCCACCTGAGTGACACCTTGCAGCCATCCTTTACCAGCAGCCACCCTACATAGCAGGTTCATTACGTGACCAATTGAATTAAGGTGGTTTATATGATTTGGATACAACAACTGAAGTATTTTTTTTGTGTTGCTGTGGACACACTCTTTCTAGCAAAGAACCAGACCTGTGAGGCCTAGAAGACAGCACTCTTGTAGCTGTGCCACACAGTCCCTGCAGCTACAATCTAATATAGCCCACTCAGCAGACAGACAAGAAAATACTTTCAAGAATGCAATAAAACCTCTTCAAAAAGGTTTAGTCATCATCTACAGCCATAAACAGGACAGTGGTATGCAACAGGGAAAATCACATATCCGATTTTCAAAACACAAGAGAGCCCCAGATTCAGCATGAACACTCAGCATTCCCTATCGGCTTGTAGGCACTCCATATATCTTCACTTTATTTACTTATATGGTATGTAAAGGCAAATCTCTTCTCGATGGTAAGCATGAAAGCACAAAAGAGTTAAAGAAGCCCTTAAGGCCCTGCAAACAGCAAAACTCATTGAATGCAACCAAAATTATACTGGAGACAGAAAAACAGCAAGAACTCGAGTTTGTTCAACTACTGTATATTACATCACACAACTAAGGCCTTCTTCCATTCAGAGACAAGAGAAGGAAAATCTGTTAAACAGATGTGGAAGGTAAAACATTAAAGAAAACAATAACTAAAGCTTAATACTGTACAGTTTCTTCAAATCGTACTTTTTGTATTACAATAAAACAAGATAAACAGCTGCACATCTACAATATGCCCCTTTATCTAAAGTTTATACAGTAGATAAAAGCTCTTTTCAGTTTCTAATGATGTGCTTGTTTATCAAAGTGTAAAGCTTCAAATAAAGGAGAAGATGTGGCACTGGTTGTTTCTTGGCTGTATTACAGCAAGAATTCTTACATTCTGCACTTACTGGACATGCTTACAGTCTCAGCTATTGGGAAAGACTTATGAACATGATGTATAAAAGTAAAATACATACAGTATTACTGTATATAAAATATGCTATATATTGTAATGTCTATATTTATATTAATTTATACATTACATTTTGTCCATTTTATTTTAATCTAACAGTAAATCCTAAAAAAAACTACATTTTGTAGTCCATATGTAGTCTTTTAGACTTCATGGATGTGTAGGGAAGGACAAACTACGTCAGTGATGAGGAACAGGTGCAATTGAGCTCATTAGATTTGATTGGTAAATGTTTTGGAATGGCTACTGCAACATGTCATATTAGCTGCTAATTAGTACTTTTTGTGCACAGGTTTGTAAAGATTCTGATCTGATGTACTGTAAATCATACAAATCATACAAGTGGCAAACTTGGTTTTTTCTCACCAAAATTAAGGTATATTAATAAAAATCAGTTTTTAGAATAGTAGAAAACACTAGGCATTGAATCATTTGCTTATAACACATTGTGACTGGTAGTGACTGATAACTTGATTAGGCTGGGGGGAAGGGAGGTCAAGGGACTGAACAGCATGGGAATGTGGCTACATGCCTTGTTCTCTTACTTTGGACAATCACTCAATCAGCCTCCTGGGAGGAGTCTGAAGTCTTTTTAAAAGAGCAGAGGAAAGGTTTTTGCTTAGTTCTGTTCTGAATGCCATATGGTTAAGATGTATCAAACCATACTGTAGGTCAGCATGATTATGCCGTGTGTATTATTAGGTGTTACAATAGTGCTTTCTATTTTACTGGTGATCATTCCAGATAGATTTACTTAACTTTCATGGCCTGACTGGCCAAACCAAAGATGCATACTGTAATGGTGGCAATAATAGAGAGCACATCACCGACTACTGCACCAGTTAGTGTTTATATTCAAACAAAAAGACGCCACCAAGCAGCCCTGATCTGACAGGCAAGACAAAAGACTTGTAAATGCCAGTGAACCATTTATTAATGAAGTCTTTTTAAAAAATGTTAGAGGAAATGTTAGAGGAAGCCATCTGTATTGTATTTTTTAATACCCCTACAGTACATTAAACCTGAGAGATGCAAAAAATGCATCAGGATTATTTTTAATATCAATATATTGTACAGCTGCAGTGGTTTGTGTGTTCCTTTAGCAGAGTAATATTAATTCTTCCTTTTATTATCTTTATATGGGCTTTCCTGTAATTCAGTTGTTGATATTTGAGTAAAACTAGATAAATATAAAAACATATTTTAAATTTAGTTATTGTATCAATTTAATCAATTTAATTAATGCACAATAATATAGGAAAAATATTTTGTTCACATCTCACTTAGAAGACTTCAAAATGTGATAAATAACATAGAAATAAAATTTCCCATTTTCCTTAACATACCCTAAGGCAGTCCGACGTGCTGCTTGAGAGCTGAAAGATTTTCCATTACATTAGCAAGGTTACACTGATATATTGGCACTTAACTCCTGAAAAATCCATTGCAAATTCGTCTCTGTACAGCTCCTGCTTTTAGAATACTTATCATGTTATTAGAAAAATAATGACAAAGATGATACAAAAAGTGTTTAATGTTTTATGTTGACTAGACATCTTCACTTGCTCTAATAGATGTAATTTCTGTTCATAATGTATTATATATCTGTTCATATATTGTTATATGGTATTTAATATATTAATATAATGAGCTTATTGTTGTTAACCCACAGCAGATATTAGGTTCTATTAAAAAAAAAACATGTGTTCAGATCTGATCTTGGAAAGTCAATAATGGTGGCACTTGATCATTTCAAACAGCTTTGGTAATACCTTAGATTTGGAAACGTTCAGACCTGTAAAATGACTTCTGACACTAAAAATACTCAATTAACACATTGCATAGTCATGTAATTAGGCAGTCCAATGAATATATTGCACATTATTCTACTATATTATCATACTTAGCCTTTTCGTTTTCCTGTGGGTTCTCAGATAGGTTTCTTTTCATAGACAGTCTAATATTGTGAAGCACTGCCCTCTGGTGTTTATTAATACACCAAGCAGACTCATCAGCTCAGTTTCAGAGTTTATTATTCTGGCCCAGAATTGATTAATTTTCAGAGACAAAGGAATGTAAACATGATTTAATTAATATTATCACTGATAATAGTTGGGGAAAAGTGTATTTTCAAAGTTGAGAACATGACAATTAAAAACCTCACCTTATGTATTACTGATTAAGCAGATCAGGTTGCACAGTTTCTATCAAGAGCTACTGTATTAATAGTAGTTATTTGTAAAATAGATCCTTTGATATAAGAGCTGTGAAAAGTTACTTAACACAGAAAATGTAAGAAATCATTGTACTTACCAATAAATATGCATAATTCCAAAGCATAAAGTTCATTGGTGCTATACCACAAAGTACCACTTTCTAAGGATTATGTTTAATTTATGGCATACTGTTATTCTCTAAATGTAACTATTAACCTCAACAGATTTTAACAGAATTGACAGAAAACAGACCACAAGCTCCATCCTTATATCATGACACAGTAAGCATACAGAGATATGGAAATACAATATAATGTAAATGACTGACTGCATGCATTTTCTATGATTACAACCTTTTATAAATGGAAAGAGAGCATGTTTTTTCCTCAATAACTGTCGAAATTCACTTTATAAAGAAATGCAAAAATATAAAAATAAGAACCTTGTACTCAATAATGTGTTACTTTTTATGTTAAGATATTCTGCTTTACACTCCAGATGAAATTCACACATGAATTTATTCAGATACCATATTTCAATAGTAAAGTCCACTGTATGCGAATTTAAACACAATGATAGACAATGACAAATGAGCTAAACACAATGGAATTTTTTGGTAAAAGGCACACCTAATTATTTTTTAAATTCACTTACAGAAAGATTAGGTTATGTACTGAGAGTACCTGAAGGAGATGGCTGTCCCTTCACAACACCATTTTTAGTTTTCTCCTCGAAGTTCATTACTTCTTTGTAGATTAGCTCTGAAAAAAAAGGATTTCATTGCAATCAATGTGACAAGCTATCTTGTAGATTTGCTTGTACTCTACTGTTGCATCATCAATGCCAAACTTCACTAAAAATGTTAAGAACATAAAATGGTTTACAATGACAGCAGGCCTTTTAATCCATCTGGTTCATTTTGTTGTTAGTAGCTGATTGATCCAAAGATCTCGCCCACCTGTTTCTTGAAAGCACTAATGGCATCACCTTCAAAAATAGACTTGTAGCTTGTTTCAGACTCCTACAAAACCTTGTATAAAATAGTACCTTCTGTTCTCAGTGTTGAATCTCCTTCCCCATTTATGTATTCCCTATTAGTTGTGAAAAATTCCAATGGGTTACATTTTTCAATAGCTACAGTATGAAAAGTCTGAATACTTTAATCAAGCCACTAAGCAGTCTTTTCTATTCAAAACAGCTGTAAATATACAGTAGTAAGTTATTTAAGCCTGTCATACAGTAGTAAGACATTTCTTCGAACCTGAGTATGTACAGTACCTGGTCATTGTTTTCAGGAAGGATTCCAGAGCACAAATCTTTTTTAAACCATGGTGGCCAACATTGTAGACAATATTCTAAATTTTTTATTTATTTTTTGCATACAGACACAGATAGCAAATCATACAGATCTATTTAATAGTCAATTATGTGTCTCATTTAATCTTTTTTTTATATTATTAATTAGAAAAGAAATGTTTGATTTTTTCTCTTTATCAAGAAATAGTTAAGAAAACTAGAAATAAACTATTTTAACTTATTTTGGACAAATGAAAAATGATCTTCCATCAACTACATTTTAATGTTCAAAGAAAAAGAAAAAAACTACCCATCATAAAACACAATTTCTTGTCATAAAAGTGTGGTTAGTAACACTGGCATATGGAATTTTCCTCATGTTCTTGTTCTGTTTAAAAAGTGTAGTTTGTAATCAAAGACACCTATGTTTCTTCCCGGCTTGGAAGTGATTTCAGGGTTTTACCTTTCCATTCATCAATAGTATGTTCTCTTTCATCAAGCTGCTTATCATAGATTTGTGGAGGGGGCTGAGGAGAAAAAAAAGACAGCGAATGGATTAATGGTGTAAATGTTTTTAATCATTTTTAAATAAATATAGTTACAGTATCATGCTCTACCCATTCCAGTCTCTCAATTAGCACATCCTTTCTGTTAAGTTAAAAACAGCAATTTTTAAAAAATGAAACTGAAAAAAGTCAATTTGCTTACAGTAAGCACATATCTTTATAAGATCAGTAAAAAAAGCTAAGAAACTAAATAATGCTTGAAGTAGAAGGCACTTAAAATGACACTAAATGTTCACCAGTGTATATTGTATATAATCAGCATTAAGCATATTTCAATGTTAAACACAACATGTTCATTATGCATTCATAAACTGTAATATACTGTAATTTGTAAGAAACTACAAATGATTTACAGCGGAATATAAAAGAAACCAACTATTTCGCATACATTGGTAGAGACAAACCATGAAGATGCACCTTTAATCATTTGCAAGTATTGATCGAGTTGAAAAGTGCAGAAAAAACGAGAGTATGGGAAATTTTGACAAAGCATAAACAAAGCAGCACAGAACACAGAAGCAAAAATAAAAACCTAGTAAGGTCCAACAAAATGGAAATACTGCATTGGCCATGTAAGTTTTATGTTAATGTTTGTACACAAATTTACACTGCCAAAACACGAATATCCATTGATTTCATAAAGAAACTTCATGCTGTTAAAAGTTAACAAATGAAATTTGAAAACATTATGAAAAGGTTAGAAAAGGAGTAGTATCAAGCATTGCTAATGTTAAAAAAAAGGAGCAAATGCTGCTGAAAAAGGCTCTTCCCTTGGTTCTTCTTACTTTTATTCTTTACAATGAAAAAGAATGAAGTAAAAGAAGAAAGCAGTTTTTTTTTCCAATTTTTATCTTGAACAGAGCCAAATAATTATATATTTACCAAAGGCCACCATGATTTCCATAGATGTGAGAAATAACACTATACAGTAAGACCTACTGAACGTTTGCTAGAGATCAAAATAAATTAATTCCAGCATTTATAGAACATCCAATTATGTTTTTATAGTTTAAGATGTGGGCTATTATGGATGACAAGTTACATAACACCATTACTTTGATAGCTAAATAATTCTGAACCATACAGTATTTTTGCTATGGCCATATCCTGCATGTACTGTATGTATATATGTTATTAGTACTGTATCTATCTAAGATTAGACATAAGTGCACTTCAGCAACTTCTGAAAATACTACTTATCAGATGCTGCTAATATTGTGGAAGCTCGAAAAAGTAACGACACAGGGTCTTGGGTTGTACTGAATAAGATACTGGCATCCCCTGTTCATGTAAAAAAAATGGCTCAAATCAGGTAGGCAGCCCTGCTTCTTAGAATGTTCCTTTTTAATAATACCTGATGATAAGCCTTTTTGTTGGAGCTGCCACCCACTTAAAGTTTTTCTTTTGGATCTATTTTTCCCTACCTATAGCATGGTAGATTTATCAAATCAAATCAAATCAAAGTTTATTTATCAAATGCACAACAATACGGCGTGCAGCAGTAGTTGCTGGCAATGAAATGTTTCAGTCCTCCATATGATCTCAGACATTTAAACACTGCTTGTCCAATCACAAGTTCATCTGTGAGTCCAATTAAGTCAGAATCAGAATTCATATATAGAGAGGAATGTATATACTGTATATCCAATATATATCCAATCAGACATAACCTTTGGCATCATCTGAAACATGGACTTATTGACCTGTAAAGTACATAATGCATGGCACTTCTAGATCTTATAACAGCATCATTAAGCCGTCTATGAATCATTTCATTAGAAAATCATTCTCCTATAACATTTTAAACTGCATTTCTCAATAGGGCCGAATTAACAAAAAGCTACTTTCAGAGCAACTGTATTCTCCTCATCTATTCTTCTGACATTTACACACAAAGGAATATCACACAGAACGTTCCATACCTACAGTAGGTAACATGACATGTTTTTTGATTTTATAGTATCCCAATGCCCTAGTACATTACAGAACAGATATGATTTGTTTCTTGGGTGTTACAGCTAGACAGATTAAAATAAAAAAAGGGTTGATTGCACACTGGAAGATAGAATTACTGAGCACTAAGTCCAAGACAGCAATTTAACTGAAACAGTACTTTAAGTTTTTTTACTTGACTTTAAGGTTAACCATTGGCAGAATTTGAGTATGTTAGTATGTAAAGGAATAGAATAGTCAGCAGGCAGGCTGGATGGACAGCTAGGTAAAACAGATTTAGATTATGCAATCACTTTCAAGGCTGTGGAAAGGAATGGGAAGGACAGCAAGTTTCACTGGATCACACCTATCAGGGCTTTAAGTTTTCAACCATTTCAGTTTCCCAAATTACTTAAATAACTTCACTGACTTAGTTCTCTGTTGTAGTGAAATTACTACTTCTTCACACAAAAGTGAATTAAACATTTATATTTTTTTCTATCTATTAAGGAAGTGAAAGATTATAAAGTCAAATTAAAACTATTTTTTTGCATTTTAGTGCCTCTGTCTGATTTTAACAGAATAAGAATAGTCTACTACATTTAATTCAGCAAGGATAAGGGGTCATTACCAGTTCGCAGTGTTTGAAAAGAGTAGTTCATTGCTTCCACTTACAGATAACGTCACACGCACATGCACACAAACAAATCTTTATGCAAAATACAGTACTTGCCCCTCTTGTAAAATTTTGGCTACATGTTTGTACAGCTAGCATTAAAAACATTTTCTAAGGTCAAATATTATTTACCATGGATATTTGGACGAGATCTCGGTTCTTCATCAGCGTGAAAATAAGAGTAGAAAGAGGAAAAAGAATAGACAGGTTGAGGGAATTTGGAATGCTATTTGTTTCTGGACAAAATCCAGAGGTGGCCAAGACAATTACAAAGTTGAAGTACTGCCGTAACTCGGGAATCGTACTTTCTTCCATAAATAAACCTAAAAACATTGTGAAAATATACTGTATTATAGAAATAAAAAATGTCCACTTACACCAAGCAGCAATCAAATAGTTAAATAGTAAACACATTTATATTTTTATTTATTAAAAAAAGCATTGCCTATATGAAGAAAATAATTTGGTAAATGTAAAATACTACTTCAGATTAAAAAACAGAACTATTTTAAGTTATAGTATCTCTTCTAGTTAAACCATATTAACTCTACTTCATTAGTCTCAGTATATATTTCATGTTTCTTTCACAATATCTTTCACAACTGTGTTTTTACTAACAGTTAAAATAATGAGGCACTACCCCTGCTGCCTCTCTGTTATATTTCTTGTGAGCCTTCATTTCTAACAAGTGACCGGTAAGAAATTACTTTTACCCAATCTACACGTAATCTTATTTACACACTGATGAAGGTCTCAGAAATGTATTTGAATAATACATATACACTGCATATACACAGCAGTGTCAGTGGTTTGATTTCTTGCCAATGTTTTCTTAAACACTAGAAATGAAAATAATTGAAAGTAGTTACATTGCTGATGTTGTAATTGAGTATATCATGCATACAATGAATTTAAATGGAATGAGTGGAACACATACCCAAAAAATCATTTTCTTAAAATATAATTGTTTATCAGTATAAATTTGGCATTCATTTTGTGAATTCATTTGTCCTTGGGAAGACCTGTTTTGAGACCCCTAATATCTTCAGTGAAGATTTTCATCAATTACATTAAATAGTTATTTTTCACACAAAGAAACACATTCAAACCCATGAATAGCAAAGATATGGCAGACACCAAATTGTAATATTGGTGGAGGAACTACTGTACTAATTACTATTTACATAAGGCGAATGGTTTAAAGATCAAATCTCACACTACGGTAAATAGCAAATATTGCACTTTGTGAATTCACTCATTTAGTTCAAAACAGTAATTGCAGAGAGTACTGTATATGAAAACTGTGATTAAAAACATGATTTACTTTCCCTTTGGAACAACAGGTCTCTTGCAGTCTCACAGTTTCAGGGGCCTTTGCTTGAGTCTTCAAAATGAAACACTGATTGGACAACTGGGCATGTGACACCTTAATTCCTCAGTAGGTTTAGAATTTTCCACATAAGTTCTTTGCACTAGATGCCTTATAATGGCAAAATCAAAATATATAACTACACTAATGACTAACAACATGATTGCTGTAAATATTAACACAAAATAATAAATTGTGACAAAGTTTATAATCAGCATGGACTTTCTTTAACTGTTACAAAGGACTGCGCAGAAAAACACAGAGGTGTTTTAAATGTCACTGTGTTAAGGTATGTACTGTATTTGTTTCAGCATCTAACAAATCACTATCTATTCAATTTCTAAACCAGAACCATGGACATTCCTAACTCTGGCAAAAATGGAAATGTTCCTACAGTATTCATCACAAAAAATAAGTTAATCAATATGATGAAGAGAATCAGCAGTAATCACACTCACCGCCTCCACTTCCGCAGGATCATACCAGACGTTAATGTATGGGTGCTGTAAGGCTTCATCTACTGATATCCGCTTAGCAGGATCAATAATAAGCATCTTTGACAAGAGGTCTCTAGCCTGGCTGGCTGTGAATACAGATTTCAAACTCAATATATTGACATGTTGTAGAAAATCATCTATGCAATTTTGCTTTATTCCATAATAAGTTACTACACGCAAAGAATGCAGGGTGGGATATACTGTTAATCGGAAGCTGGTACTCCTGCAGGAAATTCACAGGCTATAAAACAGCATCTTCATTGTACATGTTGAACCACTTGCTCACCAGATTCAGATGCATGTTTGTTGTCATAAAAGGAAGCAAAAGTCAGAGATTTTGACTTTGTATATGGATATTCACATGATAATTAGTAGGAGTTATTAGTTAAGCAGTAATCACGGTTTAGGACTATTGACTAAATCTGCCAGTCACTTGCTGTCTGCCTTTCTTATGTCTCTGAATTGCAGTTGGAATATTTAAAACCCTTCATGTCTCTGTTGCTAACAGGCATTGTCCTGCTGGCCTCACAGGCAGGCAGTTATGAAATTGTTATTTGTGTAAATAGGATAAGAGACTTTGATGTTTAAATTATGCATTGGAGGACTGGAACTGTATTATTTTTTAACACATGGTGCTAGAGCATTAAGAGATATTCATCACACAATGTTTTTATAGTGATTCAATCTGTTTCCTCCATCAGTGTCAGAAATCTAAACATTGGTTTAATTTAGGCAGATTTAAAGCTCTACTTTATCTCTACAGTTTGTGATAAAATATATGAACAAGTTGCTCCATTATTCATGCACAAATATCTCAGCCTTGTGAAACGCACAACTGAACATGGTAGAACTAACAACCCAGCAGACAACAGAAATGACTGAATAGCAAGAATTCTTAATGCAGAATTTTACTTTTTTGCAGGATTTCATGTCTGTTTCTTTAGTAAGCTTATGTTCATGAACTCCAAAATTAATATATATATATAAAACTATGATAACAATGACTTCACCAGGGATCTTTAAATGATTAGTCTGTGCATTGTAACTGGATATGATTTCTGAAGAAAGTCCAATATTCATTGAGGATCCAGTGACCCTGTGGGAAGCAGAATTTAATCTGGATGTTTCCCTGCTAACATTGCAATCAGCCTACAAACTCACTTGAAACAAATGGTATGGGCCAGATGCAGCATCTTCCAAATCAATTTCTTGTGATCTACTTTATAAAAAGTACAGTACTAGATTAAGTCAAAAGATCATGCCTTGTGGTTTCCTGGTCAAATAACACCCCTATCAGCGAACGCGATTGAGTTTGCTATTCAAAATAGACACAATCTATTAATTATGTGACAAGATTAGTTATCCTTAAATTCATGTGACTACTGTGCCATACTTCAAAAGGAAAAAAAAGCTTAATTAGCTCTCAGATGGTGTGTTAATTCCTCTCTCAGAGAGGGGTCACTGTCCCCTTTGGCAGCAGGTTCTATAAGTAAAGTATTATAAGTAAACGCCTTACCTTTGAGTTTGTTGTGTTCAGAGTCAGCAGGGAAGAGACAGTCTGGAAAGAGCTTGGGAAAGGTAAGCCCTGCATACTTGGGTCTGTTTTCTACGTAGTTGCGTACGGTCGGCTGCAGTTTCTTCATAAACTCCGGGGATGGAGTGCCCAGCTGCTCTATGACTTTGTTCCACTGATCAATGTCTGAGATGGTCAAGGTTAAGGAAAATCTACCACAAATAATGGTTTAAGACATGTTTACTGTATACACTGAAATATTAACAGTATGTTAGCATTAATCGCCATGATGCAGTTTCTGGACTTCTGTTTTCTGCTTGATGAATATAAATGGAATAAAATTCTATTATCTGAAGAATTAATATAGATCTCTTAATGTTCTTGGGCACAGTACAGAGTACATAATTAGTGCCCTGGAAACATGCAGTAGCTCAAAGGTTTCAGTGCCTGCTATGGACACTGCAGCTGTATGCTTCAGGGAAGGTACAGTACAGTAGCTCTCAGCAAAACCATAGCATATTATATTGCATTTTCAGAGTCTATAGATGAAGCCAGATCTTCTTCAAAACCTACTGTGAAGTGGTGTACATAGCAAAATGATTAGTAAGAATTAATGAAGTTCATTTTGACTCACTACAACATGTGATTTTCAATATAGAACATACCAAAATGTTTACCTTTTAATACAAAAAACATTTTTATTTGCACTGTGCCTAAAAATATACAATAGAAATCTAGCTGTAACTATAATTAGTGATCTAGTAGTATGAAGGATATACCTTATCCTTTTTATTCTCTGATTTTATTGATATTACTGTAAACTGTAGTTCAGAAAATGCTGTGATAGCATGATATACAGTAGAGGCATTGTAATTAAACAAACACAGAAAATGCATTAGAAATGCTAGGGAATACCTTTCAGTGGTTCATTTTACAAATGACTAGTGTTACAAATCACAAAACAATGAATATGCAACCATTTTATATATAAATATATAATTGTAAAGCACTAGTTAATGATAATGATATGTAATGTTACTCTAAAAACTGTATTCCAATATAATATGACCATAGAGCCACACGATAATGAGAGATAACAGGGAAACCTTATATTACTGTAAAATATTACAATACCTGTCTCCCTTAAAGTTCAGATGATGTTGTGTATATGCCAGATCATGTACTGAAATGTGGTCGGTGTAATGTAAGATGTGGTCTTTGAATTGTTTTCTTAATGATTCTTGATCAGGTGTACTGGCAAAATATATCTGACCCACAGAGAACATAACATGTCCAAATATTGCTTTGACATGTTCTTCCTAAAACATGCAAAAGCTCATGTCTGGTCTGCAATGGTAATTTCAGAATATAAAATATAAATTCCAATGACCCAAGTTTTCAATACTGTACCTTCAAGGAATTGATCATTTACAAAACTCCTGCTAGATAATGAAAAAAATATATTATAATGAGTTTCTCCATTACAGGGCCCACAGGTTTAAAACCCTATAGTGACAGCAATTAAAAACGTAAACAAATAAGCATTGGAACCATATTTAACATTTGTTATGTTTTTAATGCCTCTTAGTATATTATTTGACATTCTGAATTAAATGGAATTTGGTATTATCACAGCTAACTCTTGTTCCTTAAGATCTCATACACTCAAAAGAAATTGCTGAAAGCAACATATTTATTCCTAATTGTAGCAGCAACCAAAATGACGCAGGCAAGACAGAAGTATCCTGAATCAGAGATCTGAAACCCTAGTCCCGAAGAACCAGAAAAATGGGCTAATGAAATTAATGGACCAATAGTATAATTTAGATCACAGCTGGAACAAATGCCATGAGATACTGTTGCTCCCTGGAAAACAAAGTAACATTGGTGCTCCCTTCACAATAAGATTAAACAAAATCTGGCAAAATAGTACAACAGATAAATTGATTTAGCATATTCATAAAGAAAATATATTTAGTATGACTATAAACAACACAAACCCATTACTAAGGATTGTTTTGTGTGAATTGAAATATTGATGCATATACGAATTATTTTAGATACTTAAAGTACTGTATGAAGAAACTCTGCACTCTGCACTAATTTGAAGACAGACAAATTCTAAGACAGACTTTCTGAGTATAAAATAAAGTAAAAACAAAAAGCAAGAAGGCAAGGATGGAAACACGCAATTAATGAATGTCTCCTTTGAATTATTAACTCTTTAACAGTACTGTAGGTCAGCTGACTTGCATGAATTTCAAAACTCTGAAACTAAAAAATGAAGCTGAAGAAAATTAAAAAGTGTCATCATATCTAAATACGAAGAACTGACAGTAGAACTTGGACTGATAAAAGCCTGTCTATGTTTCTGAGTTCCTTCTGTACACTTAGAGAAAGCCCGTAACCTGATCTCTAGAACTGCCACAAGCTCCACACCGTAAGATGTTTTCCTGTACTGTCTAACAATTCAGCTTTGTACATCGTGCCTTGTTCAGGCGTGAGGGAGAGAGGGAAATTAGGAAACAAGTAAAGTATAGCAGAGCAAAAAAGAGAGTAGGTGAGAGGGAGCGAATCACCAGTTCCCATTTTTTCTTTGCTCTCCCATGCCTTATTTATTTGCTACTTTCCCTGTAGAGAAGACTCTACAGCGAAAAAGCGTTTCTTTTCTTTGCCTTTCAACATGGGATTAACCTTAACCTGTTTCTTGGTAGCCTACACATGCTGATTCGGCTCCAGGCAAAACTACTCTAAGCTGCTACTTGTGCATTGCTTTTATGGTTTTCCTGGATTGAAGAGCTAGTAAATTGTTTGATTTAATTAAGTAATGTTATTGCTTTGGTCACTGCAACAACGAACGATCTGATATTATTTCCCTAACAAAGTCCATGATCACACTACTTGGCCGGATCTTCAAGCCATTCACATTTTTTCCACAAGAACATCAGGAGCTCAAACATATTCTAATTATAGTGGCAAAGACCACAGTCAATACCACAATAGCAACTCCAATACTTTTTAATATCAATAAATAAAAATACAGTTGACAGAAAAAAACACTTTCTTTATATTTTCCAGTTCTAGACCCATAGGACACATCATGACAAATATATTAAATGTAAAGTGAAGAATGACATTTTTGTGTAATATAAAATAGAAAACCCAGCTAAATAAAAGCTAAAATATATAAATAGATTTTATTACATATTTTATGAAGACTTTCATCATTAGGGTAAGTTTGTTGCCTGTAACACATAAAAATCGAATAGTTCATTCAAGTTGTCATCCACAACGTTTGCAGAACATTCTGTTAAAATAAAGACGTCTTGGTTTCATTTTAGATTAGGAATTATAAATAGCACTTCTGAGCATTTGGTAAAAAGCATTATTATTTGTAAAATATTCATAAACTGACATGAATGTGATAATGTCCACTACAGGAGCTTATTTACTGTACATGTAAGTAACAAGTTGACTGAATTATATTCCTAACACAAGGGTAGGGCTGAAGGGATATACCGTATATAAAGGGTAATGTGTACAGTAATAATATGATTAATATCATGACAATAAAGTTTATAAACCATTATAGGAGACATCTAAATTAAAGTGAGTCTTATATTTCAAACTTCTTTACTTAAACCAGGACATTATCATTCAAGAATAATACAGCAGATATAAAATGTATTTAATACTGTGGTTTTCCAAACGTAGCTGACTTATTACAAAAGCAAGGCTTCACAGGAAGGATACGATCAGTGCCTGGGAACAACACAGTACCTCTAATCATTTCACCAAAGATGCACCCCACTGACCACATATCCACTGAAACCAAGATAACATCAAATGTAACAGGCAATAAAAAAATCAATGCTTTAAATATAATAAATGAAATTGCTGTGAAAGCTCTTTCAAACCATTTTGAACACTTCACTTAGACGTTGTACAAAGAAGGGAGGTATTGGCACTACAGCAAATAAATCCATATTTTAAATTTATTTTCATGTTAAATGATTGTGGTTGTCAATGTTCTTGTAATTGAAACTCAATTTTCATTCAATTCAAGAATTATATAGTTACATTAAATTATAATAAATTTAACTTCCTTTTAAGATACCAATGTTTTTAACATACAAAAACATATCTCTTTGGCTTACAGTATATGGAATTTTAATGTTATGCTGTTAGTAGATTAAACACTCCTTTTCACAAAGGATTGTTGGATGCAGGAACAAACTCTTAGTTATATTACAAATACTACAGCTTTCTTCACAAAACAGCTGGATAAGGTTTTCAGACCAAATATGTTCCTTTAATTTACAATCCTTCTGAAGTCCTTATTAAGTAAATTGTAGTCATTTTCATGTACCATAGTTTGAGTGATCTTGTTTTTATGTAATGCAATGCTTTTCCTGCTTCTACTACTCTTTTACCCTGTTTTTTATGATAAATTTAGAATCACAAAATCTATTATAATTTGTCTTGTTATACCTTGTATACCTATAAGGAGGATGAAGAAGTGCAGACAGGCTTCTCCACTCTGCTCACCCATGAGGCAATAATTTGTTTTGACATAATTCAAGCTCTGCAGTGTAGAGTGCCCTGTGCTAGGTTTCTAGAAAGCCTAACTGACTAATACTGTACATACTGTACCCTACTCCCAGTAGCAAGTCAAGAATGTGTCTACACCAGTCAGCAAGTGATGTGACCCTGGCTCTAAAAAGCAACATCTTCAGATAGAGCCAGGGCCACATCACCTGCTGACTGGTGTAGCCTTTACTGAGAGCTCACATCTTTCTTGGTTGACCTGCTCAACCCAGAACTCCATTGACCCAGTGTTTTCTACGTTGCACAATATGGAAAAGAGAATCTTGGTTTGTTATTGATAGAACAGTAGAATTCATAAACATACTGTATGAAGATCACCAGGAAATGTTGCACTCCTAAGAAATTAATACTGTTGTTATTATTTATTTGCTTACTAGATGCCCTTATCCAGAAAGAAGTCACACATGTGTAATTTCGTGATGATACAGTTTGTATCTTACCATCCATTTTCAGCAACCACTATCCTTAGGGGCTCCCAACAAGCCCAGTCTAACTCAGCAGACACAGGAGCAAACTCAAACTACAACCTCGACTGTATATATCTGTCCATCATAGGGAAAACAGGTATTACCTCAAGAACGTACAGTGTATGGGGAAAAATTTAGAGATGCCAATTGAAAAGAAACAATAACAGCTGAAGACACAAGGAAATCATGGAAACACCACACAGAAGGCACCCCAGTCCGGGAATCAAACTAGAGACCCAAGAGCTGTGAGGCAGTTACATTGATTGCCACACCCTCCTATTTGTGTGTGGATTAAATTTAATTGTCCCCCATTTTTCAAACTTTACTGAAAAGGCCAACTAAGTAAGCCAACTTAGTAAGCACTATATATTGCCACAAAACTAAAGACCATATTTCCTTGACTATTTTTCCATATAATCTGTAACAGCTACAGAATGTTTAGTTTTAAATACTTAAATAACTAATTTCAACATATAATTTTAAACTCATTATATAACCTAGAACATACAGTATCGCCTGATTTTCAACACCACTTTTAACTTGAGTAGCACAAGACATTCTAAACATTATCTTAGATGGTTATGAATTTTGAGTTTTTGTGGGCTTGTATTTTTTGCTAAAAATTTCATGGTGAAAAGTGAAAATTCACAAATGTCTGTTCAGATGTTTCTGAACAAAAATACAGCAGGTGAGTGCTATTTAAATGTCTCTTTTTCCATGTTTTTTTTTCTGGTTGCTCTGTTTTCCTCCAACTTCCACATTTAATTAGCATCTCTAAATTGCAGTTTTATACGTGTGCCTTAGAATGGGCTGTGTACAGTATGCACCCTCCAGGGTGCAGTCCTGCCTTGAGCTTCTGGGATAGGCTCCAGGTTGTTGTGGCCCATAAAAAGAATACGTAGTTTCCTGATAATAGGTGAATGAAGATCTCCCTCTGCTCTTGATGGTACTACAAATAACATCTTCAAAAGACATCAAATAACATCTTTATTTATTAATAAATAAAGAGATGAAAAAAGACCACTACCACCTTTAAAATAAAAATGAACACAGGGTGAGCATTTGTGTTCACCCTGTAAAAAAATGGCACACTCAACATCTAGACAGAGCAATAACCTATAGCCCCGGTGCCACCTATAGCTCTGGTGCTTCTGACCAGAAAAAAAAAACATAAAAAATAAGAAATAAAGCACTATGAAACCATCAACTTTGCAATTTCTCCAACTCTACATTTTCGACATTAAGGCTCAGATCAAATTAAAACTTTTACCCACCTGCCACTCATAAATTGCATACCTATTTCCCGATGGCACATTTTCTTTGCAAATGAAAAGCCACCATCAACTGGCTGGGTTTATAACCTGCACTTGCTGAAAATTCAACATTTTGAACAACTAAAATGAAATAGTTCCTCTAGGGATAACAATAAAATTGCACATTAGAAAATAGGAAATGCCAATGACAGAGAAATAATGTGAACCATTAGTTAAATAATAAATCTGTGATTTTTTTCATACAGTACATAACAGTATAATAAAACAGCAAAAAGACAAGAAAGTGTATATACTGTAGTACTGTATATACCGTAATCTCCTTCCTACCCCAGTCCTTTCTTTCTTCCTATATAACATCTTGAGCCTTCCACTTTTCCTATACCAGCAACACTCTTTAATTCATTCTCTAATGGCCATTTTATTCTCTATTTTTTTCTTTAATGTTGCCCTGTCTGTTGGAAAAAACTGCCTACAGAGATCATGTATATTCACCTCCTTCAGATTTTGCCTCAAAACCCATCTGATCCATTAGCACTGTAGTGATCTCCTTTCTCATCTGTATTTAAGCCTCAGCCATTATATCCACTGCTCCAGCTCCCCATATTCCATCATTATTCCGTATTACTAGGCACCTACTGTACACTTTGTTCCTGTAGTGTTATCTTAATGCTGATATGCTGTGTGTGATTTATTTATTGTTAATGGTTTTTATGTTGTCTGTTATAGTCAATACACTCATTCTATTGAGTATACTGTATGTAACTGTAAGTTAATAAGGGCATCTGTTAAACAAATTAATAATAAAAATCCATTATACTTCATGTGAACAAGCATTTAAATTATTAGCATAATAATGTGAATGAGTGCAAATTTAGGGCAGAGAAATCTGTTCACTTTCTGTAAAGGACTGATAATATAAAGTTTAGTTTTCCCAATGTTTTCTCTCGGGTAAATTCTATTTGCAAAAAAAACCAGCTGATAAACATAAAGGGGTAGCATACTTAATATTTCAGTGTATGGTGCCTGGTGTCTGGTTGAAGTAATGACAGCCCTGGCTGAAGGCACAACGAACCGCCTTCACTTATGAGGAATAAGTGAGCAAGGGTGCAGCTGGGGTGGAGGGAGGGGAGCTAGAAAAGATGCATGCATACTGTAGTTGTGGACAGCAAGTGAGTATATATACGTAAGAGGGCAGAAGTGCAAGATTACAATCTGACCTTCTGTTTAAAAACTCAATATGATTACAATTTACTTATAACACAATGTGGTACAGTATGACCTTATAGCTGATGGACTGCCATAGGTCCCTAGGAAGTGTCCCTTCGTCTTGGCTGCTATCTGTTTCAATGGTATACAGTATATGAGGTACATCACAAATACTGGATACATTTTGCAAACTGGATATTAGTGAAGGTAACCACATTCATCTCATTTTAAGAAGTAGTCAAAGAAAAATGAATGGAAACAGCAAGTTATAAGCAAACAAAATCAAAAGCTCAGTCACACAAATCTAGTGCAAAGTTCAAGAGAAGATGAACAGCATGAAATTTAGTTAATATTTACAAAATACCTCCGGATTCTGCTAAGTCGGCCCCCTGGGGATACAGAGCTGGGAGTATGCCAAAACAGAAAGGGATGTTTGTTGACAGAGCAACCGTACTGTAGCAGTGGGTAGATGGGTTAGGGTTTATTTAAAAGTTGGAGCAGGACCCATAGTCCCTTGTAAAAGAATCATTAACATGATCTAATAGATTTTAGCACAAGAACAAAATGGACTTCAGGTCATTAAAAACATTTTGGATTATTTGTTATTTTAAGGCATTCTGGAAAGAATTCTGTATTGCAGCCTTTCTGCAAAGTCTAATTATTAATATTCAAGATTTGGTTGTAGCCCAAGGTGGGAGAAGCAATCACTTCAGAAAGGTCGTTGGCTTAGCAGAATTTGGTATTTCAGTGATGGTATAGCATTTGTGGTTAAAAAGCACTGAAATTAACTAAATCTACTAGGGTACCTAACAGAAGTATACGGGCTGATTTACCTCTGACAAAAAAAATATTGAGGTGCATAACCTCATAGGAACTTATACGGAAAGAAATGGTGTTGCCCAACTCTCATGAACACACATATACTGTAGTATGTAACTAATTTCTTAATAGCAAACCTTTAAAGATAAGTGGATTAAGACCTCATTCTTCTTCCTAAAATGGTTTTCGTAAGTGACGTGGTTTCGATCACACCCTATCTGACACACATAAACTTCAGATGGTTTTCTCTGTGCACCAACAGAAAGCCAATAGAATGACTTTTCTGTAATCATATACAGAAGCATTCCCCCAAGGTCACAATAACTGTCAACCTGGATCAATGACAGTGGTAATCTCCTGCAATCTAAATTCAGTTAGAAAAGCGAAACCTGCTGGTGCTCATTTTCAGATAACCGTAAATTACAACTGAAAAGCCTTTACAGTTTTTGTTTGCATATCTATTATTCACTGAAAGATTATATTTTTTTTACCTCCAGTGTGTTGGTGGTGATATCATATTTGATCAGTCAACACCATGTCTTGACTTTCAGATGATTTAGAGGTTATTCTACATATTTAATGATGATAAATATAATTGTTCATTCAGTCAAATAAGAAAACAACATTTGACATGAAATATTGTATCCACGTAAAACTTTACAAAGTAACTGCTAAAATATTTACTGGCATTGCCTTTTTTAGTGAAAAATGAAATCCAAACTTGCATCTCTGGTCTTATATACTGCACCCTTCAGATTTTCTCTGGATTGAATACACTGTGAAGCTTCCTGCTTGGAATATCTTCTTAGAATTTAATCAATATGTAATGGTATCATCCACATGTCATCTAAAAGGCCTCATGAAATAATTAACTTTCCCCTGTCAAGGTTATAAAAGTCCGGGTTTAAAGTATTCAGAACTTGTTTCCTCATTCACTCCAATTTACATTATTTGTTAGCTTGTTACATTATTTCTCTGAATTCTGAGTAGTTATTAGTAACAGATTTAATTTGCTTCCTATTAAATAGTGACATTAAATTAATTGCTAAATAAGAGATTGTGAGCTCCTTTTTGTATCACTGGATGTGTTAATTTTTTATTTAAAAATCAGCAAAGCATAGACAAACTGTGTTCATCAAAAAAAAAATCATGCCTAATTTACCAGACGCCTGCTATTATTTAAAAAAAAATAGAATATCTGAATCAATCAACAATGGCAAGCTGAACAAGGATACAATCCCTTCCCGGGAAAAGGATTTTGTGACGGACCATTTCTCCCATAATGCACCCAACTGACCATATATCAACTGTTGGTACAGAAAAAAGAAGAGTTGCGAGAACAAATGAGAAGTTAGCATAAACAAGACATTGCTGACAAATAGACAGCGAAGAATGATTTGAATGGAGCAGTTATCCTAAGACAAATTAGTATTAGTAGAAAGGGAATAATGTACAAACATTAGTGTTGTTTGGACCAAGGGTGTCCGAAAAAATCGCAAAGGAAATGCCTATGAGACAGAAAATCCATACTTTCCCAGAGCCCAAAGTCCTCTGTCAAATGTATTAATACAAGAAAAGTATCTACAGAGCATCCCCAAAGGTCAGATTGCAACAGACTTAAGCTTACACAACTATAACTGTTTATCTGAGAATGTTAATAGTGATTTCAAAATGCATTTATATGGAATGTCAAAGCATCCTAGAGGAAGTCCAGGTCAGGTCAACCATTGTTTTAAAAAATAATTTGTTTTATTTTTATGATGCTAATTTGTGGAAGATTAATTTTGATAAAGTCTTCTAATTGTGTACATATACTGTACTACGTAGTTGTAAGATCTTTTGAAAGTCAGAGTGATGAATTTTAAAGTCTTAACATAAGAATTATACTAATATGTTCTTAAGCATTACATTATTTAATATAAATATTTAACATACTGTATTATTCACATTTGTCTTTTCATTTGTGTAATATGTGCTTTTACATACCTATTCACTCAACGCCACTATGAAATTAATAATGACATAATATTACAAATGCACATTTGCTTAATAAATTTTACAATCTGGGGAAATCCTTGACATTTCCTGACAGTGAACTACACAAAATAGGGAAAATTGTTATAACTATTTCTTTTGTAATTCAAGGTCTTCTCAAGAGCTTGAAAATAATGTGCAAATTAATTAACCCATTATCTGAGGCAAAAGTGAGAATTATTTTCTCATCTTTTTTTATTTTATTCTGCTAGACGTGTTCATGTGTTATAATGTGCTTTTTGTTTAATTCAATTCCATTTTTGACTGGAATTCAATACCTAGATACCTACTTTGAGCTTGGAGGAAAATATAAAAAGGAAGTCCCTCTGCAAAGGAAAGCATTGGGAATGAGATCATACCATTCTCCTTGTATCCCATTCCCAGAATGACTTCCGGAGCCCTGTAATAACGGGTCACAACGTAGGGAGTCATCATGAAGCTTGTGCCCGCAGTCCTTGCCAGCCCAAAGTCAAGGATCTTGAGTGTACAATCAGACTTCACCACAATATTGCTAGGTTTCAGGTCCTTTGGGAAAATTAAAGTGTGTACAGTTTTACATGAGGACAGGATTTTCAGGATGGATATCAATTTTTTTTGCTACAATGAAATCACCTCAAATTATGTCCCAAACTATGTTTAAATGAAGCGCTTACTTAAATTTGACAACTCTTTTCTCCACTCACATTACGTCTACTCTTTTAACTCACTTTCAGAAAGTTAACATCAGATCTTACTCTTCAGAAAAGAATCTTTAAGAATCAAGTTTGGGTATACAGTATAGCAATATAAATTATTACAGCATTAATAGAAAGTTCATAAATGATAACAGAATTGAATGAGTGATTAATTGAAGGAGTACAGGCACTATCTAAAAAAAATAAAAATATATAATCTAATACCTACCAAACGTTTACTTACATATCCTCTCTGATATAAATTCTGCTTAAAGATACACAGCTCTTTAGATATACAGTATATAAAATAAACTAAAGCATATGGCAATTTGAGTGGGTATATTTAATATCAATCATATGTTATAAATTCTATGATTTGTTCTTTTTTCTTAATATGGTATAATCCGCTACACAAAACAGTTGTATTACAGCAGGTCATTCCTGAAAGTTCCATTCCATAATAACAGTGGGCTGTGGCTTGCTCACCCTGTGAATGATTCCAGCAGAGTGCAGATGTTTGATACCACACAGCATCTGATAGAGCAGGTAAGACATTCTCTCATGGTCCAGCTCCATCTGAATCACTTGACAGAGGTTGGCATCCATCAACTCCATTACCAGGTAACTAAAAAAAAGGATCATAAACATGTTGTATGCCATCAGTAATTGCAAATATTCAACACAGCATATTGATCACTTTTTCCTGTACACATTTTATTTAGCATTTTTACAGAAGACAATTATACATGAATTGCAAGCATCAACCAATGTAAAACAGTGCCAATAAATACATACTGTAAATGAAATCTATAGTCATCCACTCCACATATCCTCGAGAAACTCACAGATAAGACAATTGGCGCTCTGTATTTCTGTATGAAAACTGGTAGTGCAGTTCAGCCAGACAAAATAATGTTATCGTTCAATGAAGTCAACTCCATAATACAGATACATTTCACAATCTAACTTTTCCATCTTACAATTTCTAGATTTAAAAGGTTCAATTATTATTTTTCTTAATTTTCTTTTGTGCGTTTATTTTCAAAGCTGAACACATGCTGTTTATGAGTGCGACTAAGGAGTTTGGACATGTAGATAGAAATCAGGGGTTCAGTCACTACAGTACATTGTTCTGTTGTAATGTAGAACAGAATAACATCACCAAGGTTTTAGCCAAGGATTCACTTTTCTTCTTTCGAATAGATTGCCTTTCTTATTCTCATATGTGCAGTTTAGTTATTATCACCAAGAAGAACTATTCCAGGCTTTTTTCTCTTGATTCGGACAAGATCAAACCTTTGACTCAACCATAAATCTCACTCAATAAATAAATCACATTACCAAAGATAAAAAACTACAGACTTAAGCTAAGAAACAGTTTATATTTGTCTCATAATTGTTTTTGTTTTTTTTTTAAATAAAAATGATGCTTAACAAATAAATCTTTTAAGAATGAAAAAAATCTTCAACTGCTAAAAAGATTACCATTACTTTTTTTGAAAAAACAATAACATTATTGTTTGAAAACTGATTTTGCACCTGTTTCAGATTGATATGAACCAAATATTCTAAATATAACTTAATATTATCATCTAAACTAAGGCCGACTAACACTTGAATCCAAATATCTACTTTCAGGTCAGATGCATTTTTATTACCAACATATTGATTTTCACTTGATTAAATTCGTGCCTGTGAGGAATGAATTAAGCCCATGTTGTATAAAACTCAATTGCTGGGTAACAGAGATAATACAAGGCTAGGAATCAAATCCTGAAATGAAATGCAGGACAATATATTTTTTTACAAGTTTTTTTTTTCATCCATTTTGCTCTTTTTGCAAACAAAAAAATAGACAATGCTATTACTATATTCAGTTCTTTACATATCATTGTTATACTCACCTGAGAATTAAAATCTATAATCTTTAACATTAGAAATATGGGGCTGATCTGACTGATACTATATGATTTCCTAGGGATATACTGTAATTTCATTGATATTTTCTGCTTTTGTGCACCAGCTAAATCTGGGAGCTCTTTACAGCTCCCTCTGGTCTCATTGTTCCTTTCCTGAAAGCTGGTTTAGTATTGTGCAATTGTATATGTTGCCTTAAACTATTTTTTTTCAATGAAAAATCACATGAGATTGAAAGACAATATAAAAAATCATAAAAGTAAAGCAGAATAATAATATAATAGAATACTGTAGATACATAATATATTATATTATTGTAATTATTATTTAAAATTTTGTATATTTTATATATTATTATATATTGAGTTCTAATAATATAATATTGTTGATTGAACTGAATAGTGTTGATTTAGAAAATTATGTTAAGAATGTGGATATACTGTAGCATAGTAGCATGTTGGATAGTGATGCTGCCTCAGGTTTTTATTGAACATTGTGACTACTGTTTGGGATGTGCACAGTGGGAAAAGAAAACACTGATACAGTATGTTCCATCAGTAGAACTGCACAGTGACTGCTGAATTTCTGTGTGCTCAATAAAGTACTACATTTGAGACTTAGCAGACCAGTGCCATTCTGTGCATCATTGCAAATTGAGTTTTTATGCTGTAATTGAATGTCCATTGAAGTAAAAGCAATTAATCATGTGTGTACCAATTTTTTTCAGAATTCCAAGAGCATCCAACAGGATTGTTTTTTTAAGGATACTAAGAAATATATGTGCACAAACATGTATTAATATATCACAATCATTCTCATTCTGGTGTTTATTGACTTCTTTTTATTTGACACAAAATGGAAACAGAAACAGAGAAAACAGACTGTGTTTTATCAAGTTTAATTGGACCCATTTGTCCAATTGAATTTGACTAATATGCTTTGATCCATTCAGCAAGTGAAAATTTCATTTTGTGGAAACCTACTGTACATGTATACATAGTGAAGATAAAATCAGTAATAAAATCCAACGTCAGAGAAATACAAACAGTAAAATAGATGAATAAATACTAATAAAGGAAGAAACAAACATACTGTAAAGGTAAAAAGTTGTGAAATGCCTGTCCTTAAAAAAATCTTAACTCACATTTTAAAAAATACCCCCTACTGAATAACAGATTATTTCATTATGAGATAGGAAATTTCACACAATTGTTGAACACTGAGACGGCTCACTCTCCCCTTGATTTGTTTTCAAAAGAAGCAAATGACTAAGCCTCTGTTGACCTTATAGCATGCAAAGATTACTTATAAGCAGATCTATGGAAATGTAGCTGACTTCTATAGCCACAAACACACTAGGTGCACTAGGAGCAAGTTTACATGTGTCTGTTTCTAGGCATTGCCATTATTAATAGAGATTTATTGCAATTTCTTTTTATTATTTAAAAAAGGTTCTATGACAAGTACAACAGAAGTGAGACCTGTCATTAAGTTTTACCGCTACGCAAAGGGTCTATTTTCTTTCCTGCCATTCCACGGTTCGTCCTTTCCGACATCCGTGACAAGTATTATTAGGGAAGTTGATTGTTATTTATGAGTCTTTAAATAATTGATTAAATTGATCAAGTATTGGCAGCTATGGGTCCATTAAGTGAATGTGTTATAGGTGTGTTAATCATGCAGTCAATTTACTGTATGTACTGTATAATACTGTCTTTGGCAAAATTGTCAGGCATTTAAATTATTTTCCTCGAGTGAAAAAGTCATGACAATGGCAAGCACCATAGTGTGTCGAGACAATACACAGCACAATCAGTCTGCTGTCAAGCTCAGAATGTTTATGATAAATGAGCTGTTAAACAGTTTTAAAAGTATAAACCCACAGTGCCTCAAGTCTGGATGAGCATAAGTGGTTTTGAGGCACTTTGAATCTCAGCAAACTCTGGCCATGTTTGCAAATAAATTACAGTGCTTCTCAGCTCTGTCCAAGGGAGGAAAGAGCTGAGTTAGTTGAGGGCTGTTTGGCATGTGAAGGGAGACATACTGTATACAATGAAAATGAAAAAATGTAAATAGAGATTAATTTCAGTGATGGATTTGTTTAGATGGTATGAGTACAGGGCTTGAGCCTGCAAAAGTTTTCTGGACATCAGTCGAAAAGAACAAGTTTTTAGAACAATTTAGATGCATCTGATGTAAAATGGGCAAAGAGTGTGTACAGTATGTGCAATTTTATCTTTAACAGCGTATGGCAAAGAGGGTTCCAAATACCTGGGCTAACAAATAAGTGACACGTTAGACTGCAAGAACACAACCTGAATGCTCTTTTCAATTCAATTTCTGGTTCACATTCTTACCTTACTCAAAACAAGAATTTGGGAGTTTTGTGCTGACTGACACCGGCAAATAAAGAACGAACAACTAACAGGTTAGGAGCCAGACTAGAGACTGAAACTCTACTTTTATTTAAGTATTTCTTTATAGTTTTATAAAGTGTGATCTTGATCTCATGAACTGTTTTTCATTATATACTCTTATCTTTCATCTTAATGTTTTATGGGTACATAAATTATGTCCGGAAATTGTGGGGCAAAGGAGAGACCAGGGTTTAGACAAAACCTTTGATGATGCAGTTTGTCTCATGTTGAAGTACAGTATTATAATCAAAGCCATTACATGCCTAGAGGGAAATATCACATGAGTATGTATTTGAGCAGCAAACAGGGCAGTGCCACTGCTCATGCATCAGTGTCCAGCACAACTCCCCTTAAGACAAGGCCAGCACAGTTCATTAGATTTCTTATTAGACTTCAGCAGAGTAGGTTCTTGAAGCAAGTATTGATGTTTGAAACAGAAGTCACTACTGAAATGAAACCCAATGGAACTTAAAAATCCAAAGAACAGCAATGTTTCACAAAACCAAATGATAGGGATTCAAACCCTAATTTACCCCAGTCCTGGAATCACGAAAATAATAACTGTTTTTTTTGCACAGTGTATCTATGGGTGTCCAGAGTTTTGCCGTGTTCAGAAAAAACAATTCTATCTCTGCCATTTTAATATGCATTTCTTTAAAAGGTTATGCTAGGACATCGCTTCTCACTGTTACAGTGAGAGTTATATTTTCCAAGTTTCAGAAATATTCTTTGTCACACCATTATTACACACATTGGACTAACTGCAAACATGTGCTACATAATGTATTCAGGATTATTTTTTACTGAAACAGCCTTTGATATGAAAATCATAAGATTACTTACACATCCTGGAATTCTTCTAATGATTTTTGTGGCGTAAAAACATTTAGTAAGCTGATTATCTAGAAGACAAAAATAAACAGATTCTTTAAAAGATTGCAACATTAATTCAAGCTCAAAGGAACTATAAAGTAAGAAACGTATGATTGATGTGGATAATAGTAACATTTTATTTTAAAATATTCATATTCAGTGTTACACAAAAAAATGAATTCACTCAGAAGAGCACAACAGAGACACAAAAATACAGTAAAAGCAGATTTAGAAGAAAAATGATCTGACTTTTTTCCCCCAGGAAAAGAGCGAATGCTCCTAATTCTTTGTCATGTTATTCAATTTACATTAATATTTCAGGATATTTCAAATTGATTACATTTGTACAGTGCTCTTCATCCCAAAGGATCTCAAAGCACTTCACCTATAGGAAGGTGCACAGCCCCACCTGGGTAAGCATGTGGCAATTATTATGCTTTGTCTTACAGAGGGAAATGTCCCTACTGGTTCACCAACACTATTGGCAGCAGTCACCAGGATTTCCTTGGAGATCTCCTATCCCAGGTCAAGCTTTTCTTAGCTTCTGAGATCTGATAAGATCAGGTTACAAGGTGCTAATACTGCTGCTCGAGGTAGATCGGGTCTTGAAGATTTAAGTATGAATATCAACAGGACATAGGACAAGACGCACATCAATACATTTGCAACCATTTCTGGTTTTTAAATTTGGGATGCACAGAGAGAACTGTCTAACACGATGGGTTTTTTTTTGCTCTGTCAATTGGGGACAAAATTTCAAAAGATCCTAAGGAGTGTAAGTATGAAAAAAACTTTAAAGATTCCTGTTTTAGTACGCATACACAGAAAACTAAAAAGACAGCAAAAAAATCAGAATCCGATGCAGGTAGGAATAGTGGCAAAGAAATACAGTATATACAATAAAAGAGAAGATGAAAATGTCAATGTTATTATTTGAATATTAATGTGAATGGTTATTTTCCAGGGTTATGAGTACCACAGGCACTGCTAAGGGACATTAGTAGTGAATTTTTGAAGCCCTGACTTGTAATCACCCATCTCATATTCCTTGATATGCAACATTAAAAACCAGACACAGCTTTAAAGTACTTTGAAACAATCACACAGCAGGCAATTGGTTAAATAACAATTTCAGGAGCACACGGTTCCTTTGTGAACAAAGACAGCGTATGAAATGGATCAGGGCTCCAGCACTGGTTTGAATGACCCTCGTTCAAGGACACTGCTGAATTAAACGCTGTTGCTGAGGGAAAGAAAAGCAGCAGCATTAGAGCAGCTCACGGCTGTATAATGATTAAGCATCTTATAAAAGCGCTGGCAGCCTAACGATATTGTTGAACAGCTCATTTTCCAAAACATCCAATTCACGTGAAAGTAGAGGCACAGAAATTTGTTTTCAAATTGATTGAGTTCTAATGCAGCAAAGAGACAACAAAACATTTTTCTTCAGATTTGTATGACTGTTACGAAGTTTATCATATAGCATGATCAAAGCATGATCACATATTAAAAATAAGCAAAGGAGAAATCCTTCGACGTCTTGTAAATGCTAGTAATATATCATTTTTCAGAACTATTCATTCCAGTTTATAATGGTTATAGTCCTGATAATCTACCTTTTGTTTAAAAATAACTAAAATTATTGTCATGCTGAATGTCGGCTATTTAATATCCCATAAGTGTGCTCATACTGATTAAGCATTAATACTGTAGTTCATAGCAAATTCTAATTTGCTTTAAACTATGAACATATTTAAAATTAATAGAATAAAATAGAACCATTAAATATTCTTGAACAAATCTGTGAATACAGTACTACACCTTTAAGGCACTGATATATCACAGAATTGTCAAAGGAGGCAAGAACCAAACAAAGCTGGTGTGGACCATTTAAATTATTCTTGGGTAGTGCTAAAAGGGTCTTATTATTTCTTTTACAGTAGATCCATTACTTACAATTGTAGATTGTGCTTTATCAAAAGTTAAATTGGTAAATGGATCAATGTTTTAGGGTGATATAAAATGTGTAAATAAAATTGTACTTGCTTTTAAATTAATAATTGCATAACAGTATCAAAATATATACAGTATGTACAGTATTATTAAATATGCCTGTAATTTTTAATACAAGTCTCATCTCATTAATTGAGTACCGAGTGCCAATGCAGTGGTTCGTAATTTTGCAGACATAATGTTACTTATCTTGCTTTATTTTTTACAATTCTTACATTTTTAGACAGCGATATCCAGGTTTATTAATAACATTCATTTCTTGGAAGCTATTCTAAAGCAATAGAGATGCATAAGGCAATTAAACAAGTACTGTGAACACAGACTTACATTTTTATGGTTGACACATTTCATCAGCACCAGCTCCCTGTAAGCTCGCTTGGCATGGGTTTGGTTCTGAAATGGTCTGCTGAGTTTCTTGATGGCCACATTTCTATCAAGGACAGCATCATAGCCGGCACTGCGAAAGGCAAAGGATGAACAAGCCAACATTAGCGTCCACTGGATAATTACTGTACATACAGGGCAATTTTTTATCCACCTAAGCATTACAAGCATTTAAAACATAATGTGTAAAGTTACAAGTAGAGATGAATTCAAAAGGTTATTAAGGAGATGGGAAATCAGATATTCACAAGTTCATATTCCAGAGCTCCATGCAACAGATAATATTCAAAATGTCAGAAAAGGGTATTTTGGGATGAAATATCTGTTGTGACTGTGCGAGAGAGAGAGATTATCTACAGAGACCGTATCACATAGTGGCAATTTTTTTCTTCAAAACTGTTCACACTTGTAGTCTTTCAACAAATTCCAATGATATCCTTGGATGGGGATGGGCCACTTATTTCTACAAATTTGAATCCAAGTGAACACAAACCAGAGGACAAAAAATGTACATCTCTTGGATTATCATGTTTGTTAAAATATGCAGGTCTGTCTGGGATGCTTGATTCCCCTATAAGTCTAGTCACATAATCTGTATTCTTTACTAGTGAAAACATGAACTCATAGCATCTTATTGTGGTGTTTCCCAGGGATTTGTTGTTGAGCTTTTCTTGTTTAACATCTTTATTATTCCTCTTGGACATGTAAATCATTGGCATGGCCTTCTACTCCACTCCAAATCTGGACACACTTACTGTAGCTTTCCATGGAAATGAACCCTGATAATACGTGGAATACATTGAAGCATGGAGGCCAGACAACTGTTGAGTGCTAATAAGATCCTACTACTGGGATCCTACTCTCAACTTAAAAATCCTAAAAACTTAATTTTCTCTTAGTTTTAGGAAACGTGCCTGCTATCTTCACATTAAGTTCATACGATATATTCTGCAGCCCAGTTTAACTCATTGTAAAGTTTGTGAGGAATACTTTTCTTGAAAAGTAAATAATTCATGACTGATTGATTAATGCTTCGGCCATGCTGATAAGAATTTAGCCTTTATTTCACTGAAGGCAACCAAAAAAAAGTAATCACAGTCATTACTATAATGACCATAATCCTAATGATCATGATTGTAATCTAGATAATAACGATTATACATGGTATTTTTTTTTCATTTTGGGTGTTTGACTTAGAAACAGCTACGAAACTAATTCATCTAATTCTAGATGCTACAAGTCTAAAGGTTTTACTACAATAATTTAGAGGCCTTTTAAGGTTCTTTGGAGTGATATACAGTATAGGACTTGCATTTAACAGTTAAACAAGTCATATATTTCTTTCCTGTTAAAATAAATGTCAATTTCTGAAAGTACTTTATAGCATTAAAACTGTTGCTAGCTTTTGAACCATTATGACTATGTATTTACTATTAGTCTGGTGGTAATAATAATAATAGTACAATTCTTAAAAGCTTACTTGTGCCACTTATTTGACTTTAAAAAATCAAATAAGATTGATGATTTTGGTGACTTAGATGATTGCATAAAGGGGATTTTAAGTTAGAATTAGTGTCATAACAAAATATTTTAAATAATTCTTAGGCTTAAACTCTGAAGTAGTCAAGCTATTCATACTGTATATAGTACTATAGTTGCTATACCAAAATAATAAAAAAAAACGTATTCCAGGTATTAGTTTGAAGAAAAAATGTATTTTCCATGTATACATACTGTACATATAAATGTATGTATTTTTCTCTCTCCTTTTTTATTTGCGAGTTACAAAATCTTACAGCTACTTTCTAAAACAGAAAGCAAGGTCTGTCAGGAACAAAAGGGGGTTTAAAAATGGTCCTGTTGTAGTTTTTAATTAAAAACAGGTCTATATGCAAACTGCTGGAATTGTAAATGTAGGACTTTATAATTGTAAACTGAATGGAGAAAGCTGTTGATCTGACTATTACCCTGCTTTTTATGCACTGAACTTAAATTAAATCAATGTTCCTTTCTTTAAAGGCATCTGTTTCCAACAGTAGGAAGCAATAACTGATGACGAAAAGATAGAGTGCTCCTTTCACTTTAGTATTGGACAGCATGTCCATATTCATTAATAACACAGAATCACATCCAATAGCTATTACCTCCTGGGGGCAGTACTGAAATAATCACTTATGTAACATGTAGATTTCATTAAATTCTTAGGAGCAAGGGCTTAAAAGGAATTGTAGTAACTACAAGACCTGTTTTGACTTAAAAGGTATAGTTAAAAGTCTTCCAAATTGTCACAGACGTCCAAAGGGACTAACCGTGGGGAGTAGGAGAGCGGAAAAAGACCCATATGCGTAGCGGCAAGACGGGAAAAAGGCCCGGGCTCATTAGTGCAAAGAGTTCAGGAATGACGTATAGAAACCTATGCCCTCAGGGAGCGGACGTGGGGCACCCTGGTGCTAGGCGGGTCTCAGGACATCCGAACGTCAATGCTGAGCGAGGACAGAGTGCAAGACCCGGAAATATATAGCCCAAGGAAGAGAGGGACAGGAAGGACAGCAGACCGGAAACTAGGGACAGGACAGAGAAGGAGCGCCCTCTGGCTGCAGAGGGCGTGACACAAATACTTTAAACATTTTTTATTCAAACTAATAATTTTATACAAAGCAAAGGTACATCAAAAACATTAGACTACAGGAGTCAAAACAAACCTTCCATTTAGTTTTCTTCATAATAAAAAGAGGGCAGGCTGATTCCAATTGTGATGAAATGATTCCAATCGAAAGTCTCCTTGGCTTGAGGAGAGTTATACACGCAAGACATCAGCCACCCCAACCTACTTCATGTTCAGTAGTTGCTGTACTACATAATGTATCTTCATTAGGTTATTAACTAGAGTTTCTGAAAAGATATACTGTAAATGTTGGTTATTTTTTGGACAAAGGTCATCAACCTGAGCCTGTTTTAGTTTTTCTTCAGTTGCCTTTCCCATTTAGCTAATGTTCTTAGCTCAAATAATAAAGAGAGAGAGTGCGTCTTTATTAGTCCCTAGGGGTAATTTGTTTTAAAGCAACAGAGGATCAGTGTGTTAAACAGGGTTATGGCTATAGGTATATGAGAACATAAACCTGTTCATTTTTAATCTGGGAAATCTGTATCGACGTTCCAAGGGGAGTATTTGGAATTCATCAAAAAGGGGATGAAGGGTGGATTTTACTTTTACACAAGACTTACTTGTGTAAATAGACATGGGATAGGACTGAATGACTTTCTGACATAGGTTGATAATACTTGCCAATTTGTTCTTACTTCTCAGATTCAGATTCTCAAACCAGCAGATCAGGGCAAAAGTTTAATCCAATACATTTAATGAAAGACTGATGATCATGATCAAAAACGAATGATCAACCTTAAAATGTTTGAGATTCTTTAATAAAAAATAGAGGCTGTTGGCCCTTTTTGAAAACAGATTCAACATTTGCCTCAAAATTGAACTTGCTGGCCAGAACAGTCCCTAAAAACTTATTGTATATCTATCAACCATTTACACTGGTTCACCCCTAATAACAACAGGCTTTTGAGCTGCCTTAAATTTAGAAAGTCAAGGTTTCATTTAGATTATGGAACTGTAGATATAAATGTTCATAGAAATGAATTCTTACTTGTGCCACAGAACACACAGGTCTCAGAAAGTTCCACAATTTCATATATTGCTTTCACACTTCTAGAAAAGCTTTGGCAGAAATGAAACATTTTAAAATTGTTTTGTGTATGTTTTGAACCATGCATTGCAAAATACACAGAGAATATGGTGAAAATTATGGCAGTTATGTAGCGAGAGGGCACCAAAATCAAAATGTCCGTAGCTGAAAATAAGAATGAGTATTCTTTACATGTAGTCTAAAATCAGGTGTTCGTATAAAAATAAACAGGCTATGATGCATTACAACTAAGGTGTATTGGAGCAAGTACACACCAAAAATCAACAAATTTAACTTTTCAATAATGCCGCGCCCATATTACTTCAGATATTTAGATGACGGTGATACCAATAGTTGTGGGTGTCATACCCAGTACATCTAGAGGGCGCTCTACTTCTCTCCTGTTCCTAGTTCCCTGTGATTACTCATGTCTTTCTGGTGTGTCTTGTTGTGTAGCCTTTTTACTTCCTGCTTCTGCTCTGCTCCTCGCTTAGCATTGAGGTTCAGATGTCTTGGAACCCACCTAGCACCAGGTCACTCCTGTCCTGAGGGCATAGGTTTCTACATGGCATTTCCTGAACAGCTGAGCCCTGGCTAACCCCCGTCTCGCTGCTACGCATAGGGTGTATTTTCACTCTCCTGCCATTCCATGGTTCGTCCTTTCCGACATCCGTGACAGTGGGTTGTTGTCATTCATTCAGCAATAATTAAGCAAAGTTTGTATCAGAAAATCCTTAAACCTACACTGGGGTACGAGTCCCACCCCTCTTGAATGTTTAAATACATAGAGACTTTACATTTTGGATATAAGCACACTGAAAGCCAGATACTGCACCCAACATCCGGGGGAAAACACATGTACAGTATCCAAAATGGATGGATGAGATCCTCTGATCAGTTAGATATTAACTACCAAGATGGGCTGACTGCTCTCCTCTCATTTGTAACTGTATGTTCTTACTACAGTATGTTACTGCATAGTTTGATTTTTATAATAGTAACAATAGTAAAAAAAAGTCTAGTAGATTTAACAGGACATTTTGTATCTCAATCCCTCACTTGAGCTAGAGATTATTGATAATAAGGCAGCACTTACTGTACAAACATGGCATATTTTGAATGTGCTGAGAAATCTGTTATTGGTTCATTTACTGTATACCAATGGTGCACTCAACCTCACTCTGCAATTCAAAATATATACTTTTACAAACACATTTATCACAGTGTAATAAGTGATTAATTTTTAATGTTCCCACAAACCCTAGAACTCTGCACGGCAGTTATTCATTTATCAGTGTATTGCTTTAATAAGTGTATTTTTTAAAATAATGGGAAATATTGAAAGTGAGGAATGATAGAACATGTCAGCCATATTTGCAAG